TCCCTAGAGATTTGCTCCGTGTGACTTCCTTTCATGAATCCATCACGAGGGACTCGTTGCAGTACTTATGTTTTCACAGGAACTTTGAGTAATGTATTGTGCAAACATAACCATCATGAAATCTCCGCCCATCTGGTTAACCTTCATATAGTCACTCAGTCGGTTCCTATGTCTAGCCAAAATCCAGTAATCACCTGCTGTAGCGGGACAAATTTGCCAACCCTTCGTGGAGGACATCGGTCAAGGTGATGAATAAGCTCTCAGAGCCCCACAGGTTCGTGAGGGTGCCTTGCCACTCGCGCGCATGTCTGTTTCTAGGAATAATAGGAAGGGGGTTTAGATTCTTGCTCAATCCACAGATTCTAGTTAAATGAGTATATTGACCATCGGCACTTTGTTGTGAAAAAAAAAAAAAAAAAAAAAAAAAAAAAAAGGCAGGTTGTCTCACAGCTGAAAGCATCTGGTACATGTTTTCCCAGCTCATAGTTAAGGTGGCACGGGCGGCTAAAGGACTGTCTAAAAGGATGATCAAGCATTGACTCTATGTAAAGGCAGACAGAGTCTCAAGTGAATTGGGTGAGTAGCATTATTGAATAAGCTCCATCGGTTTGAAGTATACCTTGTATGGTTCTTAGAAATGAGCTTTTAAGGTTGCTAAATTCGCGCATGCTTGGCATGCCAAAGACCAGAGCTGAAACTGGCACTTTGCATCCAAGCACTTAATATCTGCCCTTAATTATTTTTGATGGTCACTACTTTCTGCCGCAAACTTTCTCGCCCCAGGTTTGAAATGCGCGCCGCTCGTTGTCGTCGCAACCAGACTGGAGGCAGGGCTTCATTTTCTTTGTATTCAGTGGAAGTTGACAGACGGTTATAGTGATGGAAACAGGTGCTGGTGTACAAGTGAAGTGGTATTGGTGTAAGGGGTCGGCTTGTAGGACTCGAAAAAGAAGGAGCTTAGCAGACAAACGGATGCGTAAGAACGTAAGTAGCAAATGAAATAGCGGTAGCTTAATCGAGCAGTAGCACTTTGTGGTGACTTGGGATATGGTGTGATTGGGGGCGCTGCTTCTGCCAGCATGGCAAGGCGGCTCGAACCCACCTTCATATACCCCATACCCATAGGTTAGCCATAGAGGTGACCCTGTGGCCCCTCATATATATCCTTATCACAATCATACGGCACTCAACAAGGCGCGCACGCAACTGGTAATATGATATACGAAGGTATAAATTGAGAGTTAGAAGGGAAATCAGGTCGCCGCGGCGGTTGCTTCTTCCTTGCACTGGGAACACTTCTGTGAGGGATGAAGCTTTCCATTATTCAAGCCCTAGCTGTAACGCCACAAGACAGGCGACAGCCATGTGCACACCACGACGTACAGCGCGCCGAGCATGATGATCACAAAACTCCGGTCATGGGAAAAGGATATGTTGTTACCATTGGTTCCGTTGCCTGCAGATCACGCCATTAGAGAACAAGAACAGATGGTTACGGGAGAGACGACAAGGGCGAAGGAGAGACGAAAAGGCTACTCAGAAAGCCAATAATGAAGCAGGATTCAAATCCCAACACATGAACCAGTCAGAGGTGTCCTAGGGGTGGGATAAGCCGCTTAATGCAGTTTAACCAAGATCGATAACCATAGCAATAACAAGGGACGACGACAGGCCGCAAAGTAAGACGTCAAAGAAGGATCATGGATGGTAGGAGGCGAAGACAGAAGAGAAACACAGGGAGAGTGGAAGGTGACAACGTAAGAATTGAAACCTTGAGAGTCTTACGCCTTTACGAAAGAAATAAGATGGAGGAAAGAGAAGGAAAAGACAAAAGAGGAGAAGAGGAAGACAAAGACTTAAGAGTAGTAACATATCGCGAAGACACGCGTAGTAGGGGTCTTCGCCTGGGCATATATAACCCCTACCCTCGTAATCCCTACTACCCTCCTTTTTCCTATAGATATCTATATATTTTTCACTACGTTTATAATACCTATTACTATACGTCACTCGTAATATAATGAGACTAATGAGACGGCCTATAGATTAAGTTAAGAGCTGCTATATAAGGGCTATAAGGAGATTTACGTCCAGAACTTGCAACCAGCGGGTGGAGAGGTGTTAGTGAATATACCGAGAATGGTTCCAATACCAGCTCAACACCAAGTCATACCATCCGACGTTGGACCTTCTGCGTTTTGTATCACTGTGTTTTTTTTCTCGTTTCTGCTTCCCGCAAATTACTCCCTTACCTTCCCTCAGAATCATGGGGATTCTAGCACCTCAATCAGTCGGACTTCGATAATGGTGCCTGCTAACATTATCAGCCTTATGCGCGGTTCTCTGCATCTCGAGCAAACTTACCACATCGAGACATCCCCGGCGCGGTAGATCATCCAATAGTCGTCATGAATCCTTCTGCAAAAAGAGTCGTGATAGGCCAGCACGTACGAATACCCAAGGTACACATCGCTTATGCAGCATCTCTCCCGTGAAGGGTTTAGCGCTGACAAGGGCCTCGAACCTTTGTGCAGCATCTTTGCTGACGAACGTCGTCAATAGACCCGCAGGTCCGGATAACGCTCCGAATTCGTCAGTGGCAGACCGTTTCATGTCGTCCAAGTCCACTTTTGCACCCCGCGCCTGCTTCGAAGCACACAGTTTAAATATCACGGAGATCGTGTTTGTGCTTGCTATCAATTGAGGGCGACGAAAGTTTCCTGATTAAGAGCACAATAAATGTCTTATCATTCTCCTCGGAGACAAACACACACCTCTTCGCGCCATTGACACAGCATCACGCACCCTTCCCAGGACTCGGGTGGGCAAGCTGCAGACCAAGACACAGCATCGCTTCTTCTTTGGCCATCACGCATCAGGTCGCCGAGATGGGACGCGCGCCTACGAGCGGCTACTGTCACACCTGCCGGCGAAGGCGGGTGAAATGCGGTAAGTACCTCCGGCCGGGAGGATCACATCTCATCGCGGGCACTTCCGAGCTGACGGATCGTCCAATCATCAGGCAGGGAACGCCCAGAATGCGGTCGATGTGTCAAGTCAGGTCATAAATGCCTAGGTTATGACCTGCCGCTCCGCATGCAGAACTACACGGTCAGTGGGGAGAGCAGCGGCAGAACAGCCTTAGTTCCCGTGACTTCCGCGCCAGTCCTGCGGGCCAAGATTACACAAGAGTTGCCGTTGACCGCCTTCCGTAACACGATGGCGTTCTCACATCTGATGGCTAACTACCGTTGGGCACCGTTTTGGAAACCGTTGCTGAGGACGTCGATATCGGCGAACTCCACAAAGGCAGAAAAGGCGCATTACACCGCCGGTCTAGCGACTGCCCTGGCATACATGGGAACTTTGACGGGAAAGCCGAAAATGGTGTCGGATGGATATGAGATGAACGGTGGCGTAATCAGAGCACTTCATTGGGCGCTTCAAGAAAAGTCAAAAGATGACATGGCGCGTTGGGCTCTCACTATTATGGTGTTATGCATGTACCAGGTATGTGTATTTCTCTTCTCCAACGGCCGTTGAAGATGTCTTGTAGCTTGAGACGCAACACGGATGGAGCTGACAACCCAATAGTACACCATTGAGGCTAATCCAAATCTTCCCCATTACGTTGGGGTGATTCAAGTCATTGAATTTTGTGGGCCAGAGCACTTCCAGCACGAGCCCATGTTGACGATATTTCGGCAGATACGAGCGCAACATGTAAGTATCCACACTGTAAATACCTAGACATCAGGTCAGGCATGAGGCTGATAAGAACATGTGAAACTTAGTCATGCAGCTCTTTCTTCCACAAAGAAGCCTCTTTCTTCGAACAAGTCGCCTGGAAAACCATACCCTGGAGGCACAGCCACAAGACGCTACACGACCGGCTCATAGACATGTACGTCGACCTGCCTGGTCTCGGCGCTATGCTTGGCCCCTCATCAACCTTTCTGACAAAACGTCAAAGGTTTGATGTCGAGTTGAGGGCATGGGATCACTTGTCACGTCTACACAAGTGGAGGAAAGACTGGGAAGTCGTTAATCCCAAGGCAGCCACGGAAGCATGGCTGCATCTGCCACAAGACGCGGATGGCATTACGATCCCTTGGGTTAAAGACCTCTTGACGAGGGCTATAAATGTTAAATCAGCGAACCAAGCGACGGATCTCCTGATATACAACTCGACTTTGGTTTATGTCATGCAGGTCCTACATGTTCTGCGTACTGGCAATCGGCGACCTCAACCCTTCCCGCCAGAGATTGATTTCGGAAAGACAGAGGGCAGCCCGCTGTACATGCCAGAAGAGATCAAGCACCATTGGCAGCCGATGGTCGAAGTGTTGAGGATCATGCGTCTGGCTCCGTCGATGATTTTTGCCAGCGATAGCGATACTATGCTTGCTGTATCGGTGATTGGTATTGTTTATAATTACATACGGGGCACACCGGGGCTTGACCGTCTGCTGCTTTCCACCGTGAACAACCCGGAGCAGCACGAGGCCGCTGGAGGGGAGTTGATCTACTTTCAATTGCCCGAGTGAGAACAAGAAACTGAATTCTCAAGGACATATTATGGTCGCCTCATATGGGTAAAATTAGATCTAATAACCATTCATTTCGAGCGTGCCGAAAGGATTTTGTTTGTTATCGTCCCTGCTTTGGAACGACCAGGAGCAAATGACATAAGTTCGCCACTGAAGTACTTGGAATGTACAAAGCAGACCTCTTATAATGACAGATACGAAAGCGCGAGCTCAAGATTTCCTATATATGTGGAACATTATCGCTATTTTGCGGGGTTGCTGTTCTCGGCTCTGCAGACAAAGATGCGCCACGGGGATGGGCAACGTCAGCTGGTAGCATCAATTCAGCATCCTGTCGGTAGCTTGGGATCCAGCAGCCTTGCCGACATGTCATACATGAAGACCTGTGAAAGTTGTATTGATTTCAGACGTCGAGGGATCCTTGTGTAGGGAAATACCCTTGCTGTATAGGAAACTGGGCTCGAGGCGACAAAGCCGACTATGATGAATGGGGAGCTACAGTTGGCTATGACCGCTGGTCATATGCCGGCCAGCTTCCCTTCATGAGGCAGTCCAAAGCCTGCCAACACCCCGACCGGAACCCGGAACAACACGGCTACACTGGAAACGTCTTCGCTCAAACGGTCACCTCGACCAACAGACCCTTCCCTCTTCGCAAATGCGTGCTCCAGTCGTGGAATGAGATCGGAGTACCTACCCTGCCGGGGCTTGATGGCAACGCAGGCAACCCTCTTGGTGTTGATGACTTTTCCGAAAACAAGCACAATGGCCGGAGAGAGATTGCTTCAGTGTTCTATCCGCTCGATGGAATTACTGCTCGCCGATACTCTGGTCGAGAAAGTGCTCGTCTCGACAGATGAAGCAATACACGCCTCCGGAGTTCAGCTCGCAAATGGCACCCAGATTCTCAGCCGACGAGTCATCCTATCAGCCGGCGCTCTTCGAACTCCTCAGATCCTCATGCTCTCTGGCATTGGTCCTCGTGATGAGCTAGAGCGCCATGGTATTGAGGTCAAGGTCGAATCACCTGAAGTTGGCAAGAACTTCATGCAGCACTCCTCTTCAACGACATCGTGGGCCATCAGAAACCCAGAGGAAGGTTGGATCCCAGGTTCCGGAAACCCACTATTCGACCAGGAGCAGTATGGATGGGACAACCCGCAGGACTTCATGGTGTCCACACCCGTCGATGCATCGGGCTTGGCTGCAGCGATCGAAGCCGACGAGGGCGCGGCGCCGGATCCAAGCACGCATCGTCTGCTTCAGCAGTATCGTACGCTCTTGGAGCGCGTGTTCCAGTACTTCAGCTACGGAGGCGGTGCTAGTGGCACCACCTTCAGCTTCATGTCTATCTTCTTTCTCCCGACCTCTCGGGGTATCATTAGTAATTACTCTTGCCTCCACCAACGCGAGCGACTTCCCGGTCGTCGACCCCAACTACTTCGGGACCAGCGTCGATAGATACGTGCATCGCGAGGCTCAGAGATTGCGGTACCGGTTCGCTGGGAGTAACGTCACTGTTCTGGGAAGAGAGATCCTCGGAGGTCAAGTCGTTTCTGAGGGGCAGGATGCTATCACAGAAGGGATCACGGACAGTGCTCTAAACAATCGTCTTCGAGCGTCCGTCCATTAAGTTGCACAACGTCGCAAAGTGTTTCTAGTATCGTGATGCTAATAGTCCATGTCGTGAAAGATCTGCCTTTCACCCCTCTGGCACCGCGTCTATGGGAAAGGTTGTGGACAAAAACCTGAAGGTGAAAGGATTCGACAATCTGTTTGTGGTGGACACTTCTGTGTTCCCTGTCCCGATCACTGCCCACTTGTAGGTTGCGACTTATGCCCTTGCCGAGCAAGCTGCAACCATCATCTCTCAGACCTAGGAAAACCCCAGGGGAAGTTTGGCAGTATCACCTAGCTGAGATTTGGATCTTTCCGGCGAGTTAGTTTTCTCGAAAAGACCTGCGTGCTTGACGGTAGCCGGAGACATCTTTGTCAAACCATGTACTTTCTATGACTGCGGAGCATGAACAATGCGGAGATTTCACAGCCAAACTTTAAACAGAGCCAGCTTTCAGTCTGAAGCCTTCACAAATGCAAGCTTCCAAAGATACTTCTCATAAAACTATACTTCGAAGAGAATATTTCGATGCCATGTCGAACAATGTTTCGTCACTTCAAGTCAAGGCATCTGCCATCCAATTCGCGTTGTCTTACCTTGCATATTCTTGCGGGCTGGGCACCTTGCTTGTCGTGGCTTGGGTCGCATCAGGGGGAGATCTGGTGGGGTTCAACCCCCGTGGCAGAACTTCCACAGCGGGCGTCATGCCGGCATTCCGCCCAACAATAACGATTAGGGCGCGAAGTAAGGCGCGTCATCTTGCTATATCTTCACCTTCTTTCAAGGTCATCAACCATCGAACTGTGGACAGTGTCGAACATCAATAATGCCTCCGAAGAAACAGCCGCAGAAACCCCCGCAGGCGCCGTTGATGGCGGAAGGCCTCGACGATGAAATGTTGCAAGACATCTTCGCGTCAGACCAGGATATGTACCCCGCGCCGCTCACCTTGGATCGCCTCCGGAGCTGGACGGATGCAGCACCAGAGCTTGCCTCATGCTTCTGGTTCACCGCCGTCAGAAGCGAGTGGATGTCGTGGCCGTTGGCCGGCACAATCATCGCTCTCCCTGTCCTCTCCTCATTCTGGCGCGATTTGCTGGTCGGTAAGCTCAAGGAGACAGACATTGATCCTGCGACCATGTTCCCCCGCGATAGCGACCAAGGCGTAGAGGTTGGGCTGCATGTATTCCATATCGAGAGGACCGATGATCCCCAGACTGAGATGAGGATGGCTGGGTTCGGAAGATTCGCGATGAACTCTGTCGTCGAGGCTGCGGCGGAGAAAGGGTGGAAGGTAATCGGCCAGTCGGGTGAGTTCTTGTCGTGATTACGATGGAGAGAAAGCAGTAACTGATGCTTGTTGGCAGCACTTACGGCTACAATGGACGGAAGACGTTTCTTTGAAAAGATCGGGTTCGTGCCAACAGGCTACGAGGAGTACTGGGTTGAATCTGGGTCATCATCAGGTGTTCAACTCGTGACTGTGTCCGCGGATACCGCGTCCGAAACAGAGATCCCAGAGAAAGAAACCATCAAGGGACACGCGACGATGATGGCGACAACAAACCATCTGCTGTCGGCAGATGCTGCTTAGGACCCTTGCCAGCATGTCACTCGGCACCTCATTGAAGAACAGCATGGGCTGCGGGCGATCGGAGATTTCGAGAATTCGAGAAGAATCAGTGGATGATCGCCCCAAGTGGATAGCGGAATTGGGACGATGTGGAGGGCGGAAATTGTGGCTTTGAAATCAAGAATACCATCACACAGGTTCACAACTGGATCTGGCCCCTCTCTTAGTGCTCGACTTCTGGAGCAATCATTTGCCCGACACCATCAATTGCCCCGGACCCCGTTTGCAACGCTTGAAAGGCTCATCAAAGGGGTCCAAACTCCAAAGTCAACCTCGGCTCCGTCCCGACCGCCTGGCCAGACTTCCCATGCCTCGGCCGCGGACCTGGTAACCGGGAGTACGGCCGGCGACTCAAGGAGCTTCGTTCGGAGCCAGAGCGCCGAAATGGGAAGCCAGCTCCGGAGGTGTCTGGTGTGCGCTTTGTCATCATTGCTTCATGGCAGAGATTTCTGTGGCCCTTTCGGTTTCCTGAGGCGAGACGACGAAATGCTGTCAAGAGCTAGTCAGTGATGGGACGGACTCCTGACTCGGGGCTTCCTGGACAAAGCGGCAATCCCGACTCCGTCAGTTTTGCAGACCAGAGAAGAGCGACGTGGCGGTACACACTACAGAGCGTAGCATTAGGACCTTAACGCCGAACATAACGTTATCAACAGAACAACCCTACGAAAGAACAGGAACCAAGTCCCCGGTCCATGGAGGGATCAATTAGCTTCATTGGCCTAGCGACAGACCGCTTACCGTTTCGTGCAGCGGGTAGCCCCGCCACGAGCCGCGGCATCTTGATGTCAGTGACAGAAGTGAGGGGCAAAAAAATTGGAAGAAAAAAATGTTCGCACAGCGCTGACTTACTAATTATCCACACGGCAAGCGGTCAAGCGATCAGCCAAGCAATCCTTGAGAGAAGCACGCGTTCCAAAACAAGCTGGCAGGATTCCCAGGCTATCCTAGATCGGGGAACCATTTCACGAACTGACAGCCAAGCCTAGATCAGAAGGCGAAACCCATACCCCACCAAGAAGACAACCATACGAGTGGGTTGTTCGACGTGTGCTATGCCATTCTTCCATCATGACGTTATGGCTTCTATCGTCTTCTGAACAGCATGGTCCGGCCGCTGGCAACCCCGTGTTTGCCATGAGGGCCAGCATCAAGGGACCACCTCGTCGGACCCGGCGCGGGCCCGATGGAGCTTCGCCATGATCTGGAGCAAGTGCTCAAATCCCATTTAAGAAAGCAGCTATCCCGTCCCAAGATTGAGTTGATTTTTGAAACAGCAGTACAACTCCATCCCATTTCACATTTTTGTCATTCATCTTATAAAATATCACGATACCCAACCCTTTTGATACCCCTTTCCTCAGATCGTCAACAACTCATCACAATGGCTCCCGTTTCCAACAAGTGCTTCGTCTTCAAGCAGGTCCCCAAGGGCCTGCCCGTCCCGGGCCAGGACCTCACCGTCGAGGACCGCCCCATCGACCTCGACCAGCCTCTCAACGGCGGCATCCTGATCAAGGTCCTCTACTCCTCCTTCGACCCCTACATGCGCGGCCGCATGCGCCCCGCCGAGGCTGGAAAGTCCTACATCCCGCCCTTTGAGCAGGGCGCCACCATCGTCTCCTCCATCGTCGCAAAGGTCGAGCGCTCCGACACCCCGCAGTTCGCCGCCGGCGACCTCGTCACCTCCTTCATGGGCCCCAATGCCGAGTACGCCGTCATCCCCGCCAAGTTCACCCAGGGCTTCTTCAAGGTCCCCAACACCCACAACGTCGACCTCCCGCTCTTCGTCGGCGCCCTCGGCATGCCCGGTATGACCGCCTACGAGGGTCTTTACGACATCGGCAAGCCCCAGAAGGGCGAGACCATCTTCGTGTCCTCCGCCGCTGGTGCCGTCGGCCAGATCGTCGGACAGCTGGCCAAGGCTGAGGGCGTCAAGGTCATTGGCTCCGTCGGTTCTGACGAGAAGCTTGACTTCATCATCAACGAGCTCGGCTTCGATGGCGGTTTCAACTACAAGAAGGAGTCTCCCCGCGACGCCCTGAAGCGCCTCGCGCCCCAGGGTATCGACATGTACTTCGAGAACGTCGGTGGTGACCACCTCGAGGCCGCTCTGGAGTCCTTCAACCCCAAGGGCCGCATCATCGGCTGCGGTATGATCTCCGACTACAACACCCCTCTCGAGCAGCAGAAGGGTGTCCGTGGACTCTTCCACCTCGTCGCCAAGAAGCTCTCTTTCCAGGGCTTCCTTGTCGACCTGTCCCCCGCCAAGTACAAGCCCTTCCAGGAGAAGGTGCAGCCTCTTATTGCCAAGGGTGACTTGAAGGTCAAGGTTCACGTCACGGAGAGCATCGACCAGGCTGCTGAGGGTTTCGTTGGTATGCTTACGGGACAGAACTTCGGCAAGGCTGTCTTGAAGATTGCGCAGGAGTAAGTGGGGATATCTGTATCAATATAGAAACGTGTATAGTATAATGACAATTCATGACTGATATGAAAAAACATCAAGTAGCGACTAATGTGAACCAATGTGTCGTGCGGCAGCGAGCTTTGATATCAGGCAGCCATTGAAGTGAATTTAAGAGCACGCCATAAAACACCGCGATTTCTAACCGTTGAAAATGGCTAAATTGTCGACTGATGGCCTCATGGACGACCCAGACGTACGTGATGCGGCACTCTCCTAAAATCCTCAATCCTTCCCGCCAAGAGGCAGTGGTCCTCGTAGAGCAATGACCAGCTCAGATTGGTATTCTCCGGCACGTCTTCAATGTTTATCAAGCTCAACGCTAAAGCTGTGCCTGTGTAAAACCCGCCCCAAGTGCAGTTTGGTGGCACGCGTCCGATGACTGTGTGCTGTCCTAGACAGGCCTCGCACATTCGGATGGCTCGTTGAAGTTGAGCGAACTCGCATGTGATCTCAGAGAGCAAAGCATTTAGGTCGCTCTCTTCACTTTGATTAGTTGAACCACTGCACCATTCCAAGAAGTCGATGTCTCTTGCCAAGTCAACCAGCGTATTGCGTACTTCAGGCACGGGGACCCCATCTCTCCTGACACATTCGACAATCCAACTCGCTAGAGATTGACAATCGAACACGTGATCGAGAAACACAAGCGGCTTGTGTTTTCTGTTCCACGTTGCCGTTGAGAGGTGCTTAGGGATATTGTGTTTTTCACGTTGGAGGTACCCAGCCTGGAGATCTGCAGTTTAATATTAGCGCACCTCTAAGTATCAGCCATACCGAGAGATATATAATTACCTTCACTATAGATAGGGAGTGGCGGCTCATGTTCCCTATGTATATAAAGCAGATATTCAAGCTCCTTGTCAAGCTTGAAACTTTCAACCCCGCTGGTTGACTCGTCATCAGAGTCACTGTTCATTCCCATGTCTTCTGAAATGATACGTCGAAATCCAGACAGCTGGGGCGCAATTTCAGACAATGTTGTTTCGAGATGTGCCGTTCTTTCGCCAAGCATGTCATCTTCAACATTGTAAGGTTCTCGCTTGTAGGTGCTCTCCATATATTTCCCAAAAGTGTCATGTCGAATATGCTTTTGGGCTGCAGAGCCAAATGTTTCCGTCTGTTCTGATATGAACCATCTAGGTCGTCGTCGCTTCGAGACGAGAGTGATGCGTATGAAGCCTCGAAAATCCTCTTCGTCGGAATCAGAATATCCTTCGTCGGCCACTGCTTTGTTTCTCACGTTTTTTGAACTTCTATGTACCTTCGTAGCTTGTAGCGCGGCAGACGTGCCAGTCCCGAATGTTTCGTCCTCACATTTTCGCTTTTGTGGTCGAAACGATGGCTCTCCGAAGCGGACCACAAAGTTGCGAGATGTGGATGGCATCACGTGCGGCATAGCAAGAGCAACAGGGGTGTCGCTTGCCTGCGGTTCTGAATCATCTTTTTCGATTACTCGTCTGAAGAACATGTTGCAATTTTGACTGGGAAATATCAGCGCGAAAGTAAAAGAACTTGATATCTGGCCGTTGCCAACTTACCATTGAGTCTCCGTGTCGGAAATTACCGGTGCCACAGTCTCACACCATGGACAACTCGAGCTTGACTTTTTTTGAGGACCTGTCCCAGCTTCTCTGCAGATGAGACTCATATCAATTCTTTGGTATGGCAAGAACGCGCCCTCCCATTCAGTCGAGCGGTCTATCTGTCGATGAGACGCTCTTTCTTGCAAAGAATATCGTTTGCCTTTGACTCGATGGGCGCCTTTCTTCCCTCTGAATCGGTCTGCAAGGATGAACTCGAAAGCATCCCAAGAGGTGATTGTCTTGAGATGAATAGGAAACGCTCGGCCTGTGATGTCTTCGAGAATGAAGTGTTCATCGTTAAGGGGTCGCTCGAGCCGCATCAAGATGGCCTTGATTCCACTCAGCTCACCCGACAGTGACACCATCATCGTCATGAGACCTGAAGTGGACTTTCGAAGCTCTACACCGAGTCCAGCAATGAAGCTCAGTTTGGAAAGTATTCTTTGGCCAATGGCTCCGACGTACTGTTTGAGCACTTGACTCGATTTGCGAATAGTAACGGCTGTACGGTCCTCATTGTCGGCGGCCTGAATAGCACGCACTTCATGGTTTCGCTGCATCAGGCGACTGTCGACCATCGGGAGTCAGCATCAGGTACCACCATTGCCCATTGACTCGAAGGTCAGTACCCACATGGTTGTTATGTCTAGTAGCATGCTGAGCGATGCGGTGTAGCCTTTCATCTCATCCCGAATCTTCATGACGTCCTTCTCCTCAAAGTTCCACCGTATCTTCCGAACCACGTCTCGAAAAACATTCTTCGCCCCTCCACCGCCCAAGCTGCGCTCAAATTTGCGGTTGCGGTCGCGAAAGCCCTCCAGACTTTGCTGTATTTGGCTGACACTGCTCATCGCAAGTATTCTCAGATCGCCCAGGTCTTTGGCAGTTTCCATGTCATCGTAGATCTGGCTAACATGCTGTACCGTCCTCTGTAGAATTTCGAAACTGCGCATGACATCGCGGTAATCCTTCACGGAGCCGCTAGAATCATCCAGCGCTGTGATGATATCTTTTATCAATGATATGACGGCGATAAAGTCCCCAACGGCACCGAATGCAAGCGTAAACTCCATGGTAGAGGCTCCTAGTTGAACCATGAATGAATGATACGGTATGACCTCAAATTGCCCGTTGGAAGAAATGCAAAAATGATAGGAACATCGTGTGATGGTCCAGAGACAACAGATTCCGAGTCTGCCTTGCATTGCCTCCCCAGGCCTCCTAAAGCGGCAGAGCGTCGCGCCGAGTGAATGCTGCGCAACCATTGGGAGCGGGAGTTGGGCGCTTATGCGCGGTCTCATAGTTGACGCCACATCACCCCGTCTGCAGATTTCATGAGGCATGCCCTTTGCTATTGGACGCAGCTGTCCCGCGCACTTCTCGCGCTATTTTATGCGTATCGCAGGAAATGCCGTTGGCACTCAGCATCACAGAGTAAATGCATGTTCTGCGCTTCCCGGCCAACAATTTGACGGCTGACATGAGGCTCGTTTCTCTCTTGACATCATAACCCTGGTTGGGACTTGCAAGTCTTGGTCTCTTGGCTGACCAAACAACACCATGTAAGCACCCCGCACCCCAGACTTGTCCGTGTCCACAAACTCCTTTGCCAACTCTTGACCGCTCCTGGGCGAGAATGCGACGGAGGTTCTCACAATACTGTGATGTCATCCCAATCTCCATTCTCAAGGAAATTTCGCGTTGGTCCCAAGAACATCCAAGGAAACCCCGCAAAGTCCCAAGCCAAACCAAGCAATCCTGCGAAGACGCCAATGCTTTTGATAGCGAATGATATCGTCACATCTCGAATGCAAAACTTCCAACGCAAGTAAACCACGCGGAGATGAGTGCGGAGATGGTCTGGGGCTGTGTGGGGAAGATCGGAGAGGTTAAAAGGGTAGCAAAGAAGGGTTGCTCAAGGTTACAGCTTTTGGTTGTCCATTTTCTCCCTCTGTTTTGGGTATTATTCGAAGCTGTATCCGATGGCTCACAACGACTTACCAACTCCGCCTGCGGGCCAGGAGCCCCGAGGCGCCATGGGAGTCTCAGAGAAGGCCACTGACGAAGCTGTCAACCTTGAGACCGTGCCAACTCAGCAATCCGAGAATGCCAAAGAAGCTCGTGTGCGGAACGCTGTTGAAGCGCTGGGGATCACTGACTGGGAAGCCAAACAAAGCAAGATTGTCCGGACGCTGGACATGACCTTGCTCCCACAGCTATGGATCCTCTACATGTTCAATTACCTCAACCGGACGAATATCGCGTATGGCCTATGTTCTAGTAGAGCTCTTCGAGAAACTGACTCTAAGAAACAGTCAGGCTCGTCTGGATGATGACTTTGAGGCTACCCTCAAGTTGGGCAATACTGATTACAGCACTGCGGTTGCCCTGCTCACCGTCGGGTAAGTAAACACGGTGGTTGTAGCATGTCAACTTAGCTAATTCTTATCAGATACATGCTTGCGCAGTTGCCTTCAAACATGCTAATTACCAGAGTGCGCCCGGCAGTCTACCTTCCAGTCTGCGCCATTCTCTGGTCCGGAGTCTCCGCCGCGACTGCAGGCGTGTCAAGTCCTGGCGAGCTGTTCGCCGTCCAATTCGTTCTCGGAATCATAGAGGCTCCGCTCTTTCCTGGTGTACGTCACGACGATTCATCATTTATCTGGGCTTCGAGCACTGACTCTTGTGCAGGCTGTCTATCTGATGTCATGTTGGTACACGCGCAGAGAACTTGCCCTTCGTACCGCGCTCCTCTACTCTGGTCTCGTGCTCGCACAAGCCTTTTCGGGATTGATCGCCGCTGGTGTCTTCTCGGGCATGTCAGGTGCCGCAGGCATCGCCGGCTGGAAGTGGCTTTTCATTTTGGAGGCAGCACTGAGCGCGTTCTTCGCGCTGACTGCCTTTTTCATCTTGCCGAACTATCCTCATTCAAAGACTGGAGGTGCGATGTGGTCGATGACCGAGGAGATGCGAAGAATTGCTGTAGCTCGCATCGAGGATGACCGGGTGGAAGAGCCCACCGACTCGACAGTATGGCATGGGCTGCGCCTAGCGTTGACGGATGTCAAGACATACATCTTTGTAAGTCGAACACTGAGCCATACCCTTGATCATCACTAAAGCTTTCTTGACTTAGATCTTCATGAACATATTCATGACATCCTCCTACGGATTCAACAACTTCTTCCCCACAATGGTCCGCGGTTTCGGTCTCGGCAGCAGCACAATGGCTCTCGTACTCACTGCTCCGCCCTACATCGTCGGTACCATCGTCTCGTTCTGCGTGGCATGGTCTTCGGACCGAAAGAAGGAAAGAGGATATCACATCATGATCAACAACTGCCTCTCCATCACCGGCTTCGTCATCTCGGTCGCAACCCTCAACACACCCGCTCGATACACCGCAGCGTTTCTATATACGACGGGCAGCTTCTCGGCAAACGCACTGGTCTACACATGGGCAGTTTCCACACTCAGTCAGACACCCGAGAAGCGCGCTGCCGGCGGTGCCATTGTCAATATCATGGGCCACCTGGGCAACGTCATCTCGCCCTACTTCTTCCCAGACAGCGACTCGCCTAGATACACCATGGCGATGATTCTTCAAATCGTGTTCGCGGGTCTGACTTTCTGTATGGCGTTTACTTCAAAGACGTATTTGAGGCGGCAGAACAAGAAGTTGAGGAATGTGGCGGATGATACTGGGGCCATGTACAACCCTTTCACCACGTGAAAGCCAAGATTATGCCTAGGTTTGCCGTCTTTAGCGGTCAGGGCTTAGCGACTTAGCATCGCCCCTAGAAATTGCAAAATAAGTCCAGATGCGTACCGATTTTGTGGGCTTCGTTAGCAATTGTCCTGGAGTACCCGCTACAGCTCGTTCCACTTGGTGCGGCTGAACAGAGCCGGCCCTAGTCATAGCATTTGTTGATTAGTTGTCACTACAGACTTTACCTGTGCTGCCAGGTTCCTGCTTCCCGCGGGTCGCGAAAGCTAGTTCTCCTGCGAGCCAGCCCTATGTCTAGACTACAAATTAGGAGATGATCCCGACGACGTTACTCGAAGGCTAAGCCTTGCTAACGGTGAGGCCGATTGGCCTGTGGAGCGTCCAAGTCGGCATCTTTACCGGTGTGCCAAGGATGGTAACGCCCTCCCACCGGCAGGATGGGGTCTACACTGTGGCTTAACACCCCTGGACTATATCAAGATGCAGTACAACGAATCATCGCGGACTCTATTTAAATGGCATCTGCCTTGTTGCTCCGGATGTACTTGCGATAGTGCTCAAAGACTATTTTCTGTACGTGTTCATCCTTCAGCACGCCGTCAGCCATGTCGGACCACTCTTCATTGCAGCAACGCAGAGCTGGCGGAGGCCATTCCAGTGACCAATCCAGTGGCGTACAAGAGACCCTGGACGAGTCCATCCTCGGCCACCTCTCCCAGCTATTCAATAAGTATGCCGGCTCAAGCGACAAATGGACCCGGGATCAGCTCAGCGTCTTCATGCAGCATGTGCAGGTGGAGGACCCCAACGGCGCGGCGGGCTACCTCGTCGACAAGGACGAGCTGGACATCTTCGACCTCATCAAGTACATGTCCTCACCATGCGGCAACATGTTGGAGGTTGCGCCGCCACAGGACCTCTCGTGGCCGCTGAGCAGCTATTTCATCAGCTCGAGCCACAATACCTACCTCACCGGGAACCAGCTCTCGAGCGACTCCAGCACCGATGCGTACAAGGACGTCCTCCTGCGCGGGTGTAGATGCATCGAGATTGACGTCTGGGATGGGAAGGAACAGTACAAACCCGGCTTCGACGCGGAAGGGACCGAAACGTCTGAGAAATCAGAAACTGCTGCCACAGACACCGCACCTCAAAATATCGGTTTCAGAGATCGAATGGTTATGAAGGTTGGCCGGTGGATGATGAATAAGTTCGAGCCTGTCGATCCGGAAGGGAGGACCGTCGATGAAAGGCTGTCGGATATTATCCAAGCAGAGCCTCGTGTTCTCCACGGCTTCACTATGACGAAAGAAGTCCTCTTCCGCGACGTCTGCCGGGTGGTCAGGGACTACGCCTTCGCCACTTCGGTCCTGCCGCTCATCGTCAGCCTGGAGGTGCACTGCACGCCCCTCCAGCAAAGCGCGATGGTCGACATCATGGAAGAGCTATGGGGAGAGTACCTTCTCCCCGCACCCACAGGCACCCCGGAGGCCCTGCCGTCGCCGGACCAGCTACGGAAAAAGATCCTGGTCAAGGTCAAGTACGTGCCTGAAGACGAGAAGGACAACGCCGACAGCACGGTGGCCGAGAGCCTGGACGACGACAGCAGCATGTTCGAGGTCGTCACGGAGGGCAACGAGCGCAAGACGAAGAAGGTCAAGCCGCCCAAGGTCACGTCGCGGCTGAGCCGTCTGGGCATCCACACGCGCGGCATCACGTTCAAGTCGTTCGAGCAGCTCGAGGCCTCGATGCCGAACCACATCTTCTCGCTGTCCGAGAAGGCGGCGTTTGCGATCCAGAGGCGGATGCCGCGGGCGCTGTTCATGCATAACCGCGCGTTTCTGATGCGCACGTATCCGCATGGTATGCGCGTGGACTCGTCTAACTTCGACCCTGTCGCGTTTTGGAGGGCGGGCGTGCAGGTTGTCGCGCTGAATTGGCAGTCGTGGGATGTGGGCATGATTCTGAATGAGGGCATGTTCGCGGGATCTGACGGCTACGTGCTGAAGCCGGAGGGCTATCGTCAACATGATGGTGTGAATGGCGACGAGGGGGAAGAGGAGGAGTTTGGGGCGAAGATCGTCGGCAAGACGCTCGATCGGATCGCTGTTACGGTGCTCGCGGCGCAGAATCTTCCCCTGTTGAACAGAGACGACGATCCTGCCAAGTTCATCCCGTACGTCAAGGTCGGCCTACATACGGAGCCGGATGCGTTGGCGGCGATGGTCAGCGAGGGAGCAGGCGGAGAGCAGGTGAAGCAGGTCGGATACAGCGGCCAGACGAGCAAGAGCAGAGGCACTAGCCCAGACTTTAGCGGCGAGGTGATTGAGTTCTTGAATGTGGAAGGTGTCGTGCCCGAGTTGACGTTCTTGTCGTTCGTGGTGATGAACGATATCATTGGGCCGGATGTCATGACTGCGTGGGCGTGTGTGCGGCTGGACAGACTGAGACTTGGATACCGCTTCATCAGGGTTTTGGACAAGAGCGGTATGCCGACGAACGGCATCCTGTTGATCAAGACGGAGCTCAAGGAAGCCGCTATGCCGTAGCATGGGTTTTGGTGATATACGATTAATTTTAGTTGCGGTTCGACGGCCGTTTGACTCACGTTATGATACCCTTTGATCTCCCAAGTCTCGACTAACAATTCTCCAAGCTCTAGTTTCGGCTGGTTTCGGACTTATCTAGGGACGTTTCTGTATGGAAAGACAGCAGAACATCAGCATTAAGCCAGGAACATTGTCAACTCGTAGCTGGCCTCACTAAGTATTCCGTTGAGGGTTTGTCGAATGTAGAGGCTTACATGCATCCAATACAGTTGTGACGACAGGTCAAAGTGCCCGTAGTGTTTCCGGAATCGTGCCCGCGGACAGGGTGAATTTTGCCGTAGTCTTTTTGCGAGAGGCCTGCGTCGTAACTACAAACCCAAAACAGGTGTGACGTGATATTGCTAAATCAACATAATACAAGTAACTTGCCTAGGGCACACGTTCAAGGATACTTCACTATTATCGTCGTTATTTTTTTCCCCATCGTTGTCATGTTGCTATTACTGTTGTTGTCATCATCATCGTTGTTTCTATTGTTATCAATTCACTCGTACTTAAGTAAACAGGACATGTAGCCGCACAGCCATAGGAAATCTCAACGATCTCTTATTGAATGCGATATTCAGAAGGCGAGAGGTGCCACATATCTCCTTTCAGAATGCGGCGGGCTGTGATGCAGCTTTGGGGTGGAAAGCGTTTTTACAGACTTTTACCATTTTCGTTTCCTCTGTTGAACCTTAACAGAATGTGCGATTTTGTCGCTTCTCATTTGCGTTGAAGAGATCTTCAAAGTACCCATAGCTATTCGGTCAATTTGCAACGATACGTGGCTCGTTGGTGTTGATGAACTCGAAGCAAGCTCGGCCGAAATGGTATCGCAATTATCGCAATTACGTCCTGGGGTTACTAAGGCCGACTTGGCGGTCTCAGACCAGAGTGGAGAAGCGGGATGGCGGGGAAGTCAGTGTTCGGCAAGAGTGGCGGATGCTGGAGATTGAGATGTCGACCTCAAGGAGGCCATCGCGATGCAGTGCAATCAGATTAGATGTCGAGGCCCAATGAGCAAAGCAGCGCAAACTGTTTCCACGTGTTTCAAACGAGCCAATTGAGTTCAGAAGCAGCGACAAAGAAAGAAAGAACAGACGACAAGAAGACACGTGATGGGGACAATCGCTCTTCCCCTCCACGTCCGGAGCTCAGCCGAGAAGGAAGTGTCGACATCAGCTAGTCCTAATAAGGGATGGTGCCCCACGTCTGGTTCCTTCCCTTCCCGAGATTTCAGTGAAGGCTCTTTCCTCTGGCGCAGCGCAGTCGCTCTTTCCCGCGGATGTCATCCTCCATTGTTCCGACCGTCCGGAAAAAAGAAGCGGGGCTTTTTCACGGCTTCAGCCACTCACAGCGCTGAAAGCGGCCGCCACTGACGGAAGGCAGTCGCAGCCAGGCAGGTGCAGGTCCTCAAGTCACTGAAGGAAAGCCCGTCCAGGCCGGGTGGCACCTGCAGCGCAGTTTTTTGGGCAGGCAGTGGCATTGCAGTGCGGCATTTGACCCAAGCCAGACCAGACTCTGAACAAGCAGGAGCCAACCTCGAGAAATCCCACTCTTTTTTTCCTACTCCTTCCCTTTCGCAGATAGGACCAGACCAGACCTAAACACCACCTCTCCTTCCTCCGACCTCCGAACCATTTTTTTGACGTTCGACCCTCTCCCCTCCGAATACCCTCACCAAGCACCACACGACCGCCCACGATGCTGTCCCGAGGATCCGCCCGCACTGCGCAGGTATGTGAAGAGACCCAATTGGCGCCCCGTTGAGCCGAGGCCTGGTGTGTCTGTGTGTGGTGTAGTGTTTTTTCGGCCGGATGTGTGTAGCGCGGGCCGATGTTGGCGGGGAAGAAAGGACAACAACACAGCACCATCGCCATGTCACGATAACGACATCTTCACGAAAATTGGCTAGGAATGCGCACGGGAAGAGGCAGACATACCAGGACGCCAACATGCACACACACATCACGGACTCCAACAGCTCGGCTCCACACTGCCACATAACCAACATATCAACACACAGACAGACATGGCTAACCCGCTGTCCTCCAGATTCTGCGCACCGCGCAGCCCGCGCGCGCCTACGCCACGGTCGGCTCTGACATCTTCAAGCCCACCAAGTTCGGCGGAAAGTACACGGTCACCCTGATCCCCGGTGACGGTATCGGTGCCGAGGTCGCCGAGAGCGTCAAGACCATCTTCAAGGCCGACAACGTCCCCATCGAGTGGGAGCAGGTCGAGGTTTCCGGCCTCAACACCACCTCCCCCGAGAAGACTGAGGACCTCTTCCGCGAGTCCGTCGCCTCCCTCCGCCGCAACAAGCTCGGCCTCAAGGGTATCCTCCACACCCCCATCGAGCGTTCCGGCCACCAGTCCTTCAACGTTGCCATGCGCCAGGAGCTCGACATCTACGCCTCCATCTCCCTCATCAAGAACATCCCCGGCTACCAGACCCGCCACGAGAACGTCGACCTCGCCATCATTCGTGAGAACACCGAGGGCGAGTACTCTGGCCTCGAGCACCAGTCCGTCCCCGGCGTCGTCGAGTCCCTCAAGATCATCACCCGCGCCAAGTCTGAGCGCATCGCCAAGTTTGCCTTCAACTTCGCCCTTGCCAACAACCGCAAGAAGGTTACCTGCATCCACAAGGCCAACATCATGAAGCTGGCCGACGGTCTCTTCCGCTCCACCTTCCACCGCGTCGCCAACGACTACCCCACCCTCGAGGTCAACGACATGATTGTCGACAACGCCTCCATGCAGGCCGTCTCCCGCCCCCAGCAGTTCGACGTCATGGTCATGCCTAACCTGTACGGTGGCATTCTGTCCAACATTGGCGCCGCCCTCGTCGGTGGTGCCGGTATCGTCCCCGGCTGCAACATGGGCCGCGACGTCGCCGTCTTCGAGCCCGGTTGCCGTCACGTCGGTCTCGACATCAAGGGCAAGGACCAGGCCAACCCCACCGCCCTGATCCTGTCCGGCTCCATGCTCCTCCGCCACCTCGGTCTTGATGACCACGCCAACCGCATCTCCCAGGCCATCTACGGCGTCATTGCCGACGGGTAAGTCTCAATCTCCGTAGTCTGCCTCAAACCGCCGCTAACAACCCCGCAGCAAGGTCCGCACCCGCGACATGGGCGGTGATGCCACCACCCACCAGTTCACAAAGGCCATCCTCGACAAGATGGACACCTTGTAAATTGCCCCACCATAATGTGTAGCTATAGACACAATAACACACACAACAACCTACACCTCGGCGCCGACCTTTTTTTCCTCCAACTCAAAGACCTTTCCCTGCGACATTAGACGTTGGTCCGTTTCCGTAAACAAGAGGCGCGACTTGGGGGTGACGGGAGATAGATACCAACCCACGCGGTCGAATTGCATAAAAGCGGAGGATGGTAAACAACTGTTAGAATTTTCTCTGTTTTTTTTGGACACTGGGGAGCCCGGTGGGAAGGGGGGAGGTCTCGGCGGGAAGATTGTAGTTGTACCAAGTTGTACGTAGCATAGGAGTCACGCAAAGCATATGAATTCCCTTTTTCCGTCTTCAACTCTGGGCACCCAAGATTTCTTATGTGCGCACTACGAGTGCTGTGGCAAGCGTTCCTGGTCACGGCATAGCCTTTCCGCCCCATGATGAATTCCCCCGATGCGTTTCGCCAGCCATGGCCCGTGGGGTAAAACGATAGCCTCGTGCCGAGAAGCCCGTTCCAAAAATCCCCCGAACTACTTCAGCCTCGTCTGTTCCAACGAACCAACGTCCTCGGATTGGACACGCTTGTGGGAGGCTGTTTCGGCTCGGAGGGGTGGTTCGCGCGCGGGTTGTGTGCTCGGGTAACGTCGGCAATCCGAGGGGCTGGCTCGGCTGGCCGAGATCTTGTCTCGGGGTAAGTCGGAACGGCCGAGTTGAAGAATCGGAGAAGGAAGGAATTATGGGGCGGTTGGTGTTGAACATTTGCGTGCTGAAGACTTCAACGCAAGAAAAATGAGATGCGATCGCAGCGATCGCAATGAATATTATTTCTTTTTTCTTATGAAGGTTGATGACGCGATCTAATTGCTCGCTTGCTAGGACCACCTCTAACATTTGCACTTCTCTTCGTTGCGTATTTAGACAGCAAGGTCTTGCAAGTTCTACTATAGTAATGTGAACAACCTAATGTGGTTGATGGAGAATAAGCTATAGACTAAGACGCGAAGGGATGATGCTCTCGACACTAAAGATCTTCGCAGCTACAGTCGCAGTTAAGTAGGGTGTTCACCCACAATTTAATGAAGCGACGTTTAGCAGAAGTGCCTATGTCGGTGTAGTCTTATTGCAACGCAAAACGGGGTCTACTTTTATAAATATGTTGAATCATGTGTAATGAAGCTTAAACATAATGGACGGATGTGGGTTGTTGCCTTGCTGATTTTATGCTGGAGCGAGTATATTTTAATGAGATGACTGCAGCAAGTCTGGCGATCAAACAGACAATTAATCCAATGTCGGTATCGCTGTCCTTCTAGGAATTGAGAATCTGTCCAGCAGGTCTAGCAACAGCTCCGCTTGCACAGCTTGAACTGCCGCATGGTCCCTGTGAGAGGGGTCTATCATATACCTGTGTATAATATCCGCAGGACGACCGAGACGTCAAACGGAGGCATCACAATATAAATGTCAACTAGAGTTCCTATGTGCAGAGACAGCTGGAAGGTTAGGAAGAGGAATGCTTCCAATGTGACAGATAGAAACCTGGAAAGCGATTTAATTATGTAAGCCTTCGCTCCTTGTTCCCTATAGAATATGAATTGAGTGGCGTGAGTTAGAACATACTGGGACCGCAAAAATAGATGATTTGGTAGTGCTATGTTTCTAACATGCACTGCTGCGTTTGGAACCTGCCCAGCTGAGCATGGGGATGTCGACCGTCACAGCGTGCGTTTTACTCAGGACTGCAGTATGAATACTTCCAATCACCTCAGCTGCATAGGTGTAGGATGGAAAACGCTGAAGGATGAGCAATTCGCAATAGGGGCATTACGAATTTGCAGAACGGGGAGATGTGGCAGACAGAGTCGTTTCACATCTGCGAAGCCTTGTCTCCAGCCGCCATGTGTGTAATCATTGGTGAAACACTGCTAAGACTGCTGCTGGACTGTAAATTTAGTGTTTACACCCGCCACTGAAGTATCTCCACGCAAATTGGATATTATTCTGTTGTTTCGCGGCCGAAGTCCACGTAGGCTGGAGACTCTGGTGGTTAGCGTAAGTCTTTTCGCTATTACGATCGTGCTCAACTCCAGCCCATACATACCTCCTTGCCGGCTAATGATTACGCAAGAACACTCATGAGACACAGGTATTGAGGCATAGAGACCATGGGTGGGCGCCGGGTCTTGCGTTGAAATAAACCCTTGCTGAGGGGATATCTAATGCTCGGGCGACTGTTACAGCACAGTCTTATCGGCTGATACTTGCTGTTGTATAAAGAGCAAGCTACCGCCCAATGTCTGTGTCGCTTACTATGTCTAGGCGACGTGTAATTCTTTTATAATCAACTGGCGTCTTTTCTGAGGGTATGACGTAGTAGGCTGTCGTGAGTGAAGAGTTTCAAGCCCAGGTACGAGCCATCCAAGTGGCAAGTACAAAGTCCAGCGGATCTTGATCTGGTTTTGTCCTCAAATGGAATGAAATGGCGAATTGCACCCATCCATCGGAATCCTTTGTCAATATCGTCGTTTCTCATAATGGTCTGACTTTGTTCCGCGGCTGGTAGATGAATATTCTCGAATACTGCGCACGTTTCGATCGCTACTGAGAGATGGATACTGCTAATCAAGCATTCGAATATTCCAGGGATTGAGGCGCTGAAGGTTGATGTACGACGGCAACGCGGTATTGGTGACATGGGGAGGTTTCACCAGAGTCAGTCACCAGTGCACTAAATGTTCTTTACTCTTCTTGTCTGTTACGCCCAGGCAGTGTCGGGGTCCCTGATGGACTATACATTTGATACTTTCATAGAACTCAAAAGCCAGGCCGGGCAATGTAGTTGTCGGGAGATTGTCATGGTCAGATCCACTGGTGATCGAGATGACAGTGAGTGGTTCCAGCTGGTCTCCTCGTCACTAATGCCTGCGGAAATCTTACTCCTACCCAACGTTTCCAAGGAAGAAAATGTGACATAATACTTGCAGGACAGCCGCGATGGATACTGACAGATATATAGAAAAGCATCGCTCTCCGGGCGATCGAGAGCTTGCTTAATGTTATAAAATAACGACCCATAGCAGTTGCAGGACTCAGAAGATGTAATCCTGACGTTTCCAGGGAGGGGAGGGTGTCATTTTGAACCAAGGAACGGCGCAGTTACTTCAAGCATGTCGATTTCAAGGTTTCAGTCTCAAAGAGAGCAGTTTCTGAGGCTTTGGTATTTTTAAAGCAAAACGGGGATTCCTTCAGTACGATGATTGTGTCGTGGTAACGTGCCGGTTCGTAAGAGATGTTATAGCGACTAAGACAATGCTTCCCTGCAAGGTACGGTAAATTCTGAAGTCGCAGCATCCAAAAGGCCTTTGTCGACGGAATGAAAAGCCTTCCGAAGGAAGTTTGGCTTTCAACTAGCCCAGGCACCATCACAATGAGGCAGTGCCATTCCGCAGACGCAACTTGCAACTCAAGACCATCATGGAATATGGGGACTGAGTGTGCAATTCCACTGAAAGGTTTGATATATCTTGTGTGTCTGCGCTGCCTTGTGACTCGTCGCTCTTCGACAGCTGTCTACCGGGACAACAAGTTGGCTGGCCCGGCTAGGGGCCGCAGGGCACGCATGAAGCCCAGCAAATAGAAAACCACTTAAAGACGACTCGGAATTTTCACATTTGGACAACAATATCTCCGTGACTGACCTCCTAGGTCTGGAATCGAAGTGCTGCCTGGTACGAGGCTTTCTAACTCGCGTCGTGGTACAGACTCGGTGGTTTTTAATGCCTTTGCTAGTTTCAATGAAGCCGGATGTCTGATCACGAAGTGAAAAAGAAAAAGCAGTCAATAAAGAGTGCTTTTAAGTCCCCATTTTACCCCTAGATTACCTGGAAAGGAACTTCAAGGTTGTTGAGGGCAGGGCATTGATGAGTTCTGCGGCAGTTCATTTGCACTGCCTGGTGAAACAGATTCCACGTTTCTTTTGAAGTTGCATGTCTTGAACATTATGGATGAATTCTGCGTTTCATCATTTATGTGACTAGAACATTAATTTTCATGTGGATAATCATGAAAATCGATCGTTAGTTCTCGACAGCCCGAACCCTTCAGACAGGAATCTTGAATCCTGAACGGCGAAGATTCTGGAAAACACCACTAGGGTCATACTTGGCAGAAGCAGCCTTGAGCTTAGAAACAGCAGCCTCTCCAAAGGTTGAAATGACATCTTGCACCTTGTGGGCATAGTTGAGGTACTTCCACTCCCATGCAACTCCCAAAGAGACCGCGTGAGCCTCCACATCGTCAATGTAAGCCTTGATCAAAGGGAATGCAATGGCCTCCTTGTCAGCACCGTTGATGGCGAACGTGAGCAGGAACATGATGCCGTTGCCCCTCTGGATGTAGTGATCCAAGCCCATAATGTTGCCTCCATTCTGGACGCCTTTCTCAACGATAGACTTGGTGATCGGTTGAAACATGCAAAGAGTGTTGAAGCCGGACTCGACACCAACGGCCGCCTCCAGATCCGCAACTAGGGTGTAGTGCTTATCCGCTGCGTAGTTGATGATGCGGGCGTCGTTGTCGAAAGCCAGCGTAAACCAGGCGTTTCGGAAGCCGGGGGGCTGACCTTGGCCAAGCTCGTTGGCGACGTTGGACATGAGGTCGAGCTTCGTGGTGTCCTGCGTGATGTTGCCGGCAGCGAAGTACCCATCAAACGCCGGGGGTCTGACCTTTCCCAAGGCGTTCTCGATCGCAGCGTTGAGGAACATGCCGCCTGCCGAGGGCAGGTACACCCAGTACATAATGGACGAGCTGTTCTCGTCCTTGTAGACGTTCTCTGTGAAGTCTACCAGCGCGTCAACGACCTTCGGGCCGGAGCTGAGGTCGTAGAAGATGTTGCCGCCCCAGATGACGGGGTTCGTTGGGTCGGGGAACTCAATGGCGTACATGTCGAAGCGGGTGACGAGGCCGAGGTTGGCGCCGCTGCCCTTCAGACCCTGCCAGAGGTCGGGGTTGGACGTCGCGTTGGCGTTGACGATGGAGCCGTCCGCGAGTACAACCTCGAAGTTTGCGACGTTGTCGGCGGCCATGCCGTGGGATGCGGAGTGGAATGAGTTGCCGCCCCCAGTGATGAAGCCACCGGTGCCAACCGTTCCGGCTCGGCCGCCGGTGACGACGACGCCATGGGGTGCGAGGGTGTCGTAGACTGTTTGCCAATGACCGCCGGGCTGGATGGAGGCAAGCTTCGTGTCGGGGTTGTAGGTGGTGCCGTTCATGTAACCTAGGTAGGAACTGTCAATGTGAAGTTTCATAATGCGATCAAGAGACGACGTACCAAAGTCGATAGTCACACCATCCTCAACACTGTTTGACCCAGCAAAGGATCCGTGACCCCCACCGCGAACGCCAAATGTGCAGTTATTGGCGACCAAAGTCTTGATGATGGCAGACACATCCTCGGCAGTCGATGGCTGAGCGATGCACCACGGGTTTAGAGCTGCACTGACGGACCAGTATGTGCTCATGCGATCCGTATAGTCGGTCGAGTCAGGGAAGAACACCTTGTCAGCCAGGCCGGTCGTCTTGCTCAGTTTTAAGCACTGTCCGCATGATGGTTAGTATCGCTATCAACTCTTGAAGCATCCCACATGGCACAGAGCGGAAAAAGGGAAACCGCCAAGACCTGTAGAAAAGGGACAGCGACTCACGCATGCTGTCGAATCAAGGTAGGTCTGCTGTGCCAAGACAGCCGAGGCACACGAAGCAGCAGCGCTCAACGCGAGACTCGCGCTGGTTGACTTCATGGTTTCGGCTTTGGCCCGGCGGGATGGCTTTGGTGGAATTGACTGCCCGGGCAAGATACCTCAGGTGTGCGATCACTAATAGCACCTCGCAAAGCCAAGCCAGAAGAGGCGCGCAGAATGAGAGAATATGGTTACACACCAACGAAGAGGGATGCCAGGGCAGCCAATTTCACGCGATTGCCGTGGTCTCGTCCTTATATTCGCCTCGTCTCACCGACCCGCGGAAGACATTATCCTATGCAGCTGGTGTGCCGTGGACCCCTGTGAGACCTAGCATCGGAGAACTAGCCTGTCAAGATGCATTGCAGGAGGGGTTCAAAAGACCTGCGCTGTAGGGTGGCATCGGGAGCGTCAATAGAGCAATCTTCTCGGGTTGCGCAGCTTCATTGATACGACAACGCTGAACACCTCTACGTGGGAGTGGCCGAGCTGCGTTGGCAGACTCACTTCCATCGAAGTAAACCTAGGGTCCTGGACACGCGGAAGTGGCTGACCTGGTCCCGAGTCCAGCCAACAAGTCCAATTGAGGGTCTTCACAAGAAGCCCTAGGTGTCGAATAAGTGGTGATCAATGTCGTTTATGTACGTCTGGCCTCATCGTTCAAAGACCCAGTCTGCGCCCTGCATGGGGGGTTAGCGAACATGGGGAAAGAAGTCCGAAGCAACGAATGGTGAATTCGTGTTTCTACTGCCCATATGGGGCCCTGCTGACCGTGCCGTGCGCTGTATCATGTTGGTGCTCTAGGTGGCCGGGGTACGCCCCTGCAACGCCGATGCAGGCCAAAGTCAGAGTAACAACGCGCCAACATTCCCCAGCTTGGGGCCGCAAAAGAGAGTTCCGCCGAAGCTAAACTGGACGCATGCTTCCGTGGTCAAGGTTCAACGACTAGGGGCTGCCGAAGCCCTACGCAAGCGACCTGCTTGAGGGGGAAGTGATGGACAAAAATCTTTAGCAGGCCCAGAGGATAGGCTGCAGATTTATGTCGGGGCCTATTTCCTGTGTTCCTCTTCCATTTCTGACTACTCTGGGAGTCAGCCCTGGTACTGTAGAGATTTCTGTTGCATCTCGTCTGAAGACGCACATGTAATGCTGCTGCACAGCTGGCAACTGATGGCCCGGGGACATTGGCTCTCTACGCCCTACATGAGGGCCACATATCCATACGGCGCCTGTCGTGTTTCGCTTTCGTCCATTCGGTCTTTTGGAAAAGCCGCACAGTCAGCTGGACATCCTGAGATACTGGATCCAAAGAGCGAACAACATGGATCTTGCGCAAAGCTGCCACTGTAGCACGGGCAGATAAGTAAACAATTAAGACACGAAGCCAAATTTCTCGCATGTGAAAAGTAGCTACTTCATACTCGGATGATTTGGCTTCGCAAAAGATGGCCACGCCCAGACTTTGATGGCGTAGGCTCGTTGTTCCAGTCGCTTCCGTCACGCCATCTCGCATGGAGGATGTTTCCCTCCATAGGCAGATAGTAATGGAGAAGAGAACTCCATTCTGGCTTCAAAACCACGACAAGTCGCGATTTTAGGGTTCAACCAGGAACCTACAATGCAGGGACTCCCATTGAGGCCAGTCAAGAAACGCGTGGTATGAATCAGGCTATCAGCACAGGACATGCATCGCCGAAATGGAACTCAAACTGTCAGAAGCAGGACGAAGGTTTCCTTTGGCCCGACTACTGTTTAAGTTCTTCTATACATAACCGGCACTCTTCCAAGCACACTTCTTTTGCTTTTACCGCTCGGGGACCATTCTTCTGGAAGGCGACGGTCTACTCCTTTTCCGTCGACTCGGGTCGGTGTGCTCTCTTCAACTTCATGACAACTCTTCCACATCCCATCAAAATCGTGGGACGCAACATCACTCCGTGTCCACGATGCCCGTGGTCAATGGCGTAGTCACGCTGCTTCCAGCGCCGGAAGGCTACGTGGTCAATTTCGACCATCCACAGCGGCAGGCTGTTCCGGCGGCTTTCTGGGTATGCGGGGTGGGATCTTTTTTGAGTGCATTGCTCATGGCGCAGCGTCTGTATACGAAAGCATTCCTTGTCGGCCGCCTGCAACTTGACGATTGTAAGCTGAGAACCACCTCACTCTGACCCCCTTCTCTCAAGTATGGCACAAGACAACAGCGCGGTACCCATGCTGACTTACTGCTCGGTAGTATTTCTCCTTTTGGCTTGGGTAAGTCCCAACAGTCTGGAACTCTAGATCACATCGCACTGCAGGCATAAGCGAGCTGTGCCTCGCCAAGTCTCGGCATCTTGTGAAGGTTGCATCATGCTGATATGTGACTTCAGCTCACGTCAATAACGACTATCGCATTGTGTACACGTAGGTCTGCTCAATGTTGATGAAGTCTCCCTAATGTTGACGATAATTTAAACAGACATGTTCGCGGTGGGTGCTGGCGGAGTCCACGCCTGGGAGATTCCGATAGAGAAGTTCCACATCTTCATGATGGTAAATGGCTATGGATCAGCAGAAGACGGCAACTACTGACATGTCATCAAACTTAGGACGTCTTCCTCGCCGCCCCTATCTACACGATCTGCGGAAGCTTCGCCAAAGTCTCTCTTCTAATCTTCTACATGCGACTATCGCCTCACAGATGGTTCAAGTGGGCGGTATGGATCACGTTGGGTGTCATCATAAGCTACAGTGCTGCTCTTTTCTTTGCTCTCATCTTTGCGTGTGATCCAATAGCAATGAGTTGGGACGTGACAATCACCGAAGGGACATGTATCGACCGCCCGGCAATTTACATTGCGACAGCCGTCGCCAATATCGTGTCCGATGTCATGATTTTCTCGTTGCCTATTCCGATCGTGGTGAAGCTAAAAATACCACGCCGGCAGAAGATCGGGTTATTCTTCATATTCGCAGTCGGTTCTCTGTAAGTACAACCAAAATCTCTCTTTGTGACGCGAAACGAAAAGACGACTGACTCCTTTGACTTCTTAAGAACCGTTGTTACTTCTCTCATCAGAGTCTCGCTGCTCCCCGCCATGTTGACCAGTCTGGACCAAACCTGGGCCATCTCCTACGCTAGTCTCTGGATGTAAGTAGACGATGGCGTCCCAAATCGGATTCCTATGGTTTCATCTTGCTCACGTGGTATTCCTCGCAGCATTGTCGAAGCAAATCTGCTCATTATCTGCGCCGCTCTTCCGACTCTTCGGAAGTTCTTCCGGCACGTCGCCCCAAAGATAATCGGCGAAAGCACATATGCAAAGGGAAGCAAGAAGAGTGTCACGGGCAGCACAACCATCAGCCGTATGACCATCGGAGGCTCGAATGGCAGACCAAGTCGAAACGGGCACCCGCCGCCCGACGAAGACGACGGCGAAGCGTTTGATATGGAAAGGGGAGGAGGTGATCGTTCGGCCTCACGAACTACCCCTGCTTACAAAGATACTCCATCTTATCATGACGATATTTCCGCAGAACAGGCCATCAATCTGAATAACGCGATCATCCAGACCAGGACTGTCACCGTGGAGGTTAGTTTCAAAAAGAAGAGACCCAATGGGTGGTCATAGCATCGTTCATTCACAGCTTGGAGAAGTACGGCGAACTTTTGGGGGGTTTCTGCCGATCTTTTCACCCACATTATACGTGGGAATTTTAGCATATGCAAGCAGCAAATACATGTACCAAGATTTCTCGCTCATGTGGTCACCAAATGGGCCGGTATTTAAAACTAGAGAAAATTCGGTTTGAAGACGTATCAGCTAGAAGAGAAATCGTCGTATTATATGATAGTCTATTGCCGATGCCAGTAACACTGCTGCCCCCCACGAGTATGCTCGCCATATTCACTCATGAAGCTGGACGAAGCTAGATACTATCCACCCAAGTCGACACATCGTGGCCCTGGTTGTAGCATTCGATAAACATTTGCCACAATCCACTTTCAGCAGATAAAATGGAATCAACTCGAGTACCTGCCACTGACTGGGGCAGCCATCAAGGATCATGCAGGCGGGTTAATGCTGTAGAGACTGAGTCTGTTACCGTTGCCGCAGAACTGTGTACCGTCTCCTTTACAATGCTGGCTGCAGTCTGCCTCTGGAGCCTTTGTGCCTCCGAGTGTATTGCCACAGTAGCACTCGCCGCCGTACTCGAGACCGAAGTATGCATAACTCTTGCAGAAATTCGCGCATTTCTCGACCGACATGTCGTCGGCAAACAAGATGTTCTCCTTCAAGGAACGGCCGTTGATGTTGTCGTTCCAGCATGACTGATACCAGAAGCCGTTTGTGCTACCGGTCGGGTTGGCAGTAGCTGTGATGGATCCGGAGGGAAGAGCAAAGACATTGAGACGATTTCCATCGCCGCATAGCTCGGCGTTGTTGCCTTTGCACTTCATCGTGCACTCAGTCTCGGCCACCTTCTTGCTGGCGGTGTCCAAAGAGTTTCCACAGTAGCACTCGCCAGAGTACTCGACGCCAAAGACTCCGTAGTTCGAGGAGCTGCAGAAAGAGGCGCACATCTCGAGGGTCATGGCGCCATCAAACTTGACTGCCCCCGATAGTACACGTTGGGGGACATTGTCGGTGTAACAACCCTGATATGCAAAGTTGGAAACGGTAGCGGGAGATGAGATAGTGCCCGTATTGGAAGTGCTTCCGGGATTGTATGCAGCGTTGGCATTAGGTCCGTAGACGCTCAGCCTCAAGCTGCCTCCACAGGTCTCGGAGCTAGATCCAGTGCATGTCATCGAACATTCCGCATCCGGAGCGCTGACAGTCGGGAGGGTGTTGCCGCACCAGCATTCTCGAGACCATTGTGTGCCGAAGTACGTGTACCCAGCGCAGTTGGCAGCGCATGCTGCTGCCGTCATGGAGTCGGAGGTAAATTGCTTGCTGGGAAGCACGCGGGTGTTGCCATCGGCGAAGCAGCCAACATAAGGAGTATCGGCAAGGGTCGCGTGGGTGGCAGGGAAGTACAACCAACGCTCGTAGACGCTGATGCGGCTGGCAGCACCGCAGGTCTGCAAGGATGAGCCGCTGCAAGGCCAACTGCATTCTGTTGAAACTGCGACAACTTGATTTTCCTGAATGGTGTTGCCGCACCAGCATTCCTTTGCGTACTCGACCCCGAAGTATTTGTAGTTGGAGCAGAAGCTGCTACACTTTTCGATGGTCATGTCATTGGCGACCAATGTAGCGGCTCCCAGCGTGCGCTGTCCATGAACCAAGTCCGTATAGCATGATTGATAGCTGTAGCCTTGGCCCATGATCGATTCCCTGAGTGCGGAACAGCTTGGGATGGATAGCAGAGACAGAGTTGAAGAACTGTAGAAGAGGGAGAGAACGATGGAACCTCAAACGAGATGGGGCTGAAAGCATGCAATAGAATGATTTGGGACAAGGAAGGTGAAGCGACGACCCTTGAAAGAGCTCATATACTGGCAGGTGGATTGCATTTTGAATTGTAAGAATTGCCTGAAGAAGTGACTGTGAGCTTCAGAGTACCAGAGTAGTTTATTAGAATAAGCTTGTTTTGACTCTAGTCCCAATAGTCACGATGATGGCTTTTGCCTTTCTGACCCAACCGCTTGGTAGCTCGTTGCGCTAACAGCCAGCCGAACGGCTCCCAGGAGCAAAAGCGACGCCTCTTTTCCAACGCGGAGGGGGTTTGGGCCTAATTCAGGCTAGAATAGGGGCAGCACACATTAAGTTCTGAAGCCACACTTTATTCAGCTCATCAAGCTAAGAGTTGAATTGAAGTGAACCATTTCTCATGGCCATCTCCACGCCCCCCTTCTGGTTGAAGTCCTCCGGTAGTTTAATTTTCAGGTATTATCAGGTGCCACAGCATCTTGGCGACTAAGCCAGTGCCAATGTTTTTACTACTCGGCAATTGATCGTCACACCAGGGACTGGGACTTCCTGAACCATGACCATTGCAATCCAAGCCGGAAAATGCTTACCTGATTCTGTATGACCAGACCAACACTATGGATCGGTCGCTTTCTCGTTTGGGTAGTTGCGCACGCAATCATTGTTCGCCTGCTAAGCGCCTGACAAAATCAGATTAGTCTTCACAACACCATGGGTCACCAAAAGTCCAGTTTGGAAGCAAGATATATGTATTTGCTACTATACTATCTTCCGTCCAACGACCCCAAAATCATACGCGCAGCGCTGCTTATGCGACGAATCGCTTTCCGTTGCAGATGGGAGCGCAGAGAGTGTCTATGGAAACGCAGTGATTAGTTGTTGTTCATCTAACAATTGCGGAAGTAGACTTACTGCACTCATCCTCACTTGGCTTGGGGCAAGTCCTCTGGCAGTCCTCGCAGGCACCAGCCATGACAGAGGCGGCGTAGGTGGCCAGAAGAGCAAAAACGAATTGAAAACGCATGTTGATGGTATTCGGTAAACGTTCAACGTTTGTGTTGTGATGTAGATTATGGAATAAAGTTGTATGATAGGCCCGGTGGGATGTTGCAATGATGGGATGAGATGTTGTGATGACAGGACAGAAGAGTTGCGACGAACGCAGTTCTTGTCACGTCATTTATACTCACAATTTCACACCAAGGCACTGTTGACGTTGACGGGTATTGAGTCCGACAGTGTCAATACAACTGGGGTAGCGTCTTACGCCCGTTTCAAAATATCACCGTTGTACACGGCATATTTCGTAAGTTTCGCTTTACGAAGATGTCGCTAGGGCGCCTGGACAAGTGTTGAGTGTGGAATCAGTGCTGACTCGCCTCCTTGAAATCCGTCCGCCGGGTTGAAAGCTGCGCCACGGAGCTCACCGTCAGTGGCCAATATGCCAAGCACCACGGCAGCCTTATGCATAGCACTTGTGTTTGAAGGGCGATCAAACGATTTCTTACCAAGGTGTTGGTGCTTACAGCTGAACTATTTCTGTGCACCTTCTAGAATGTTTGATCATGGGATGAAAGATTATATGTATCTCACGTCGATTTGCGAGGACCTATTCACTGCTGCCAAAAGGAGCTTTTCCATCAACTTCCCCTTCATGGCACGGCACGACACAGTAACACGGGCAGCGCCAACTGCACGCTCCATACTATGGGCGCTCGTGAACTACAGCGAATGAAAAAGGCCCGTCTGAGTCTCTGAATTTAAAGTTTAAGAGCCAAGTTAGACGCGTCACGTCCTGCGCGGTACCCACTAGCTCTGACAATGGTAAATACCAGTTTCGGTGTCGGATCTGCATTGCGTCTGGGATGTTGAGTTCCAGTTTGCTGGACCTTTTCAGCTCGCACCTCGAATCCGGTTCGTCTGTAAAACTTGAGACAAGTCGCAAGCCGTCACCGACAATAAGCTTTCAGTTAGTTGTATCGGTATTCCCGGTGTGTCACGTACCCCTGCCAACCCCGGATCACTCGGGACCGCTCCGGATCACAGCGCCTAGTTTCCGCGGAACTCGTGAAGCGGATGGCAATATGCTACGCAAACAAACTAGCACTCTTTCAACTCACTGTTCTCTGAAGTAACGATCTGGCGCACAGCTACTAAATCCGATGGCACCGAAGAGGACTGGTGTTTACACATCTAGGCAGACTTTATTACGGACAGAATTTAGAAGGACTCGACTCGGGTCCATGATCATTCCACTGAAGACAGCAGCTAGCTCATTTGGAGTCCAAGGCCACCTGCGCTCTCCACAACGACTGAGACTGACACCCACATCCGGAAGTCCCGTGGGGATAAAGACTGAGTTATTTTGCTCGCGTCACATTACTTCCGGAACAAAATCTTATGGAAAAAGGAGGCACGAAATATGGAAATGCAGATGCAACTCAAAGACCTCAGGTTCCAGGTTTCACTTGATTGTCCAGTTCTGGCTAAAGATCACCGTGCCGAATTAATCAATCTTGAACACGGAAGTTTCGGAACTGCACCCGTAAACAAACAAATCATCCATTAATATATTTGAGTGCAGTATGTCCGAAAGTCTATGAAACGTTGCGGATAAATCGAAAAGTCAAGTGCCTTGTCACAGCTCAGGAGGGCCGATCTTCAGGATTTTGCCATCTTGGAGAGTCACCACCATGTGCAATCCCCGCAGCGCCTGTGGCCTATGAACTATAGATACCACAGTATGAGCTGCAAACTCGTTCTCGATAATCTTGGCCATCATCTCCTCCGTCTCCTGGTCAACGGCGCTCGTCGCCTCATCGAGAACGAGAATCTTGCTTGAGTGCTTGCGGACGATGGCGCGTGCGAGACAGAGAAGTTGCTTCTGGCCCTTTGACAAGGCCAGATTGGAGACATCGGTGTCTAAACCGCCACTGAGGGAGATTGCTGACCACAAGGACACCTTTGTGAGGGCGGAGATGAGGGCTTCATCTGAGGGGATCTCATGGAGGCTGAGACCCTCGGTGTGCGGAAAGAGATTAGTGCGCAGCGTTCCGGGGATGAGCAGAGGTTCCTGGGGAATGGCGATGAGACGGCGGCGAAGCACGTTGTTTGGCACTTGGGAGATGTCGATGCCGTCGATTACGATTGAGCCTGAGTTCAAGCCCAAGAGTTTGAAGATGGTGAGGGTCAGTGTTGACTTGCCGCTGCCAGTGCGCCCACATATTGCGGCCTTGTCACCTGGCTGCAGAGTGAGTGATATGTCCTGCAGCACTGGCCTAGTGTCTGGGGAATAAGATGCTGTGATGTTGTTGATCTCAAGACGACCTTCCGAAGGCCAATTGGGCGGGAGGGTTGCTTGCTCCTCTGGTGGAGGGGATGGCTCAACTGGCGTCTTGGATTCGAAGGTTCTCAATCTTGAGATGGCACCCAGAGACGTCTCAAGCTCCGTCCAAGAGGTGATGAGAGTGGCGAGCGACGCGTTGAAATTGAGCACGTTGTAAAGCGCAATAGCGATTGCACCAGTGCTGGTCGATTCCGGAATCGTCATTGCTAGCGAGACGAGAAGAACTGCAATGGCGCCAACAAGGATGTCGAGAACTAAGGTAAGCCATCTTTGGATGCAGAACAGAAGGTAGTAAGGCCGCTGAGACTGATCCAGGAGGTGGAGTGATGAGTCGCGGAATGCACCCTGCCAGCCAAATGCCCGGATAGTAGAGATACCATCGATCGTCTCGACCAGTTTGGTCAGTAGTGGTGCCTGAGCCTGGAGGTCAAGGAATCTCATTTGACGGGAGGTTCTCAGGTAGAAGGCCTGCAAGCAGTAAAGAGCGACCAGTAGGACAGGGATCACAGCCGCGAGGTACTTGGCACCGATCATGATGAGAACCAGTCCAGCAAGACAGTCCAGAACCGCTTCGCCTTGTTAGAACGCTGTGCTTCCTGAAGAAACTTCGCACTTACTGATAGCAGTCATGAACAATGCAGTTGGGAGGTCTCGGTCAATATGGGAGAGGTCTTGACTGAATCTTCTTGATGTTAGTGTGGGAGGGCATCAAGGATGCGAAGGGGAGCATACCGATTCAGTAGATCGCCGGTGTCTTTGACAAGAAAGAAAGACAAAGGTGCTCTGCAAAGTGTCAGCGTGAATTCTGTCCATCATTGGAGCTGTTTTTACCCACCTCATAACGGTCTGGAGCAATTTCCAATGCAGGTTCTGAGATGACTTGGGAACAATCATGACAAACATCATCCTGTACGCCCGTCAGTTCATGTAACGCTTGGGCTTTTCCAGTGCATCGTACCAAATATTCAATCCAATGATAAACAAGCCGCCGACAGACATCCCAGCGTAAACGCCAAAGTACATGCTGGTGTCTGCCCCCCCGGTCTTTGCATCATTCTCGGTCCAGGACTTCAACCAAACCTCTGCCATTCCGTTAGTAACGGGCACAATGAAGGCTAAGGGGCCACTTACGGGGAAATACTCGGACAAAACAGTCGCCGAACATGCCCAGCGCCCCAAGAGAACCATACAGCCAACCGATTGACTTCAGATAGTACCAGTAAAGAGTCGTATCTCCAGCCTTTCTCAGGAGATCCTGTTCCTTGTCGTTCCCTTCCGGTGTCTTTGGTCTTTTGCTTCTCTCTGACGTTTCGGGGGTGGATATGCCGCTTTCATCGTTTTTGCTGTGTTTGTTGTCCTCGATGGACAAGGTTTCGAGGTAGGCGCTATGTCGAACAGCAGTGAATGCCCCCTGGTTGGCAATCTTACCATCGTCGCCGAGAATGACGATATGATCACCATACTTCAGGTAGCTTACTGCGGGTTTTGTCAGCTCACTCGATGATAGACACCGCACCATGATGGTACTTACATGAATGTGTTGCAAGGATGATGGTAGTTCCAAACCGACGAACCAAACCATTCTGGCCAAATACATTGTCCCAGATATGGTTTTGGGTAGAGGAATCTAATCCACTAAGCGCATCGTCGACAACCAAGACAGGTTTCCTCGCATAGACCGCGCGTGCCAAAGCCTACAAGTGTGTTAGATTACTTGATGCCTTCCAAATGCGCCAAGAAAAGACTCACTACACGCTGCTTCTGACCACCGCTGAGAGACTGGCCCTTGCTTCCAACAACAGTACCGTCGCCACTTGACAGATTCGCAAAGTCTGGCAGCAAGGCACATGCATGTACGACCTTATCATACCAGTCCTGATTCAGTGGTGATTGGGCGATGATGTTTTCCTTGACCGTTGAGGTCGTGAGCCATGTGGTCTGCGCACAGTATGCCACGCCTCCATCCAAGGTCTTGACGGAGCCGGTCATGGGAAGTTCGCCCAAAAGACCTCGCAGCAAGACTGTTTTGCCAGAGCCAACGCGACCAATGAGGATTGTCAGCGTTGAAGGCAGAATGTGAAGGTTAATGTCCTTTAAGATAGGTGTATCTCCAGCCTTGATTGAGATGGAGCCGTCTTCGACCGCAACAACATGATCTCGGTTCGAAGACCCCTTGGTCGTCAAGGTCTGCATCTCAACTCCGTCTTCGCTCTCGGAGGGAGTAGGTCTTGCCTGCTCCATCGTGGTGGGGGCTTCTGAGGGACGATCGTTACCGACGAAATCTTCAATCCTCTCGAAGCTTCCCAGAGAGGCAAGCAAACTTGGTACGGAAGAGATAAGCAGGGCTAGAGGGCCAGCAATCATGTCAATGATCGAAAGTGATGTGAAGACTGTTGCAATAGAAAGCGACCCTCCCGCATTGATTCTCTGTGCAAGAAGCGCGATTCCGAAGGTCACGACGGGACCGATCATGCTCGGACAATTTCCTATTCCAGTCAGTCATGGGCTCCATCACACAAAATTGATGCGACATCTCACCTAGGACATTCATGTAGGTAATCATGGCACGGTACTTCTTAGCCCTGACTAGCTCAGTGATTCTGAGATCCTGAATTACCTTCTGGAGGAATTCCGTCATTCCTAGCATCTTGGTCTCCTTGATAGAACCAAGGACCTCTGAAGTCACAGTGATGCGCGTCTGGATGTTCTCGCTCCATAGCTTCATCGCCGGGGGCATCAGTTGTCCAAGTTTACTCATGCCAACGGTGCACACTGTCCACAATCAGTGCCTAAACTTTGCAGTCGCCACAGGGCCATACCTATGATAGTGATAGCCGGGCCTACGCTTCCAAGTCCAAGCTGTCTCTGCAACAGCCAAATAGCAATGCCGATCTCTACAGGATTCGCCCAGACCTCATGGAGTGTCTCAAAGGACCTGCAGATGTTCCTCACGTCGGAGCTGACCAACGTCAAAGCAGCCGATGAGTCCTCAGCTGCAGCCGCATTGGCATCGAGATTCTTCGACAGAACAAAGGATGCGAGAGACCCTCGAACCATGGTGATAAATCGATACAGTTTGTGTTGATAAAATCCATTCACGATCTAGTTGCAAGTCATCAGCACATGGATTTTCCCTTAGAACGACCATTGCACGTACAGCTGTGCCGAGATAGATCATTGCGGTAGCTGTGATGAGTCCATAAGCCACAGACTTGGGGTCGGATCCCTTATCGCCATCGACGTAGGTGATGATTCTGTTGATCAAGAAGGGCTGAGCAAATTTGAAACCAATAAGAACCAGTCTGGGGAAAGCCGTGGCAATGCAAGCCTTCTTGGTCGAGCTGAAGAGCGCCTTGATAAGTGCATACTTGCCCTTTCCCTTGCGCTGGTCCCACTGCTGGAGCAGTCGCTGGAGAAGCTCCTCGGATCTCAGACCGTCATCGATATCGTAGAGCGCAGCGGGTGACAGAGTCGCCTTGAACCCCCGCGTCACCAACCCGTTGAGCCACCAAAAGAAACCACGACCGATGATGCCGCTGGTCGTCTCAGGGCTGAGGTTGCGCAGCGCGGCAACGAGGAACCTGCGCTTCCCTTGGACCTCTAGCATGAACATCGCCAGCTTCACCGTCAATGAGGCCGTGAAGACTGCTGCCAGTTTCTGCAATCCGGGAAGAAGCCATAGCGTGCGGCATTGCACTGCGTCAAATGCCAGAGAGAAGACAAGGTAAACACTGATGATTGTCGAAGGGCGGATCGATCGAACGTGTTCAGTATGGCTGAGCACGCCGAGTGCGAGTGCATCTAGCACCCCAAGGATTGCCGCGGCGACGGAAACGCGGTTGGCGAACGGCGCCTGAGCCCACAGCGAGACCAGCGCAATTTGGATCACGCCAAAAGTGACACACGTCACGATTTTGGCGGCGTTGAGGGGATGGCGGAGCACCTTTCGGCGCTGACGGAGCAGCTGTTGCAGCCGGAGCGGGAGCGCCAAGAGCAGGGCGGCGGACGGGCCGATGTTGAGGAGCGATTGTTCAAAGAGCAGCGTGAAGTCGAAACGGTCGCTGCACACCGATGCAGCGGGGCCGAACGACCCTTCACAGTCGGCGATGGCGGTGAAGTTGTCCATCGCTGCTGCCGGTGGGATTGGTGATGGGGAACGGCAGGCTGCAGTAGATGCTGTCAGACCAGATGAACTTGGTCGAACATTTAACGATTCACATGAGATGGCACACAGCAGGGGACACCTTGGTGCAGGTTAGCGGCGCGTGGTCCAACTCCCAAGAGACTGGCGTAATCTTACGCGCGGAGATAGGCAGTGATGCCCGTACGGCAACGCAAAACGCGAAGATAGTTACGAGGCCAAATGACTCGGTTTGTGCTGTAATTGTATTGTATGGATAACTCATAACTATGGACTATTCCGTAGGTCTCAGGCGATTGTGGCCGTTTGAGTACTTTCGGAGAAAAAGGCCGCTCATTATCGACAATGAATCCCAGGACACGAAACGGCGTAGATAGCAATAGAGACAATGTGGAAGAACAATCCCCAGTGAGCCCAGATAGGAAGGTCAGTAACAGCTTACGTTGGCGCTGAGACGGCGACCATCCGCTGTGCGACCTGAGCCTATCCAGTCAAACTGCCTGTTGGAAAGCAGATCAGCAGTGCTCGTGCCGAGACCCGAACATGAGGAAAGCGGTTCATCCTGCTGCAAACCAAGCACTTGGGACATGCATGGTTACGTGTCGGCTGCGTGTCACACGAGGAAGAACCAGCAGGGACCAACCGCCTGAAAATACCAGAGATATCCTTGTTCAGTGGCCTTTTGGGGGAACTTTTGACGCAGTTAACGGGAACCTAACGCTGAGCAGACAATGTTCCCGCCTATTCTCGTTTAGAGTTAGATTGAGACCCTCATGTCGCAGCGGAACAAGAAGCTTGTTTTGTAGAAGCAGTGGAGCAATAACGCACTAATACAGTGGTCGAAAGCGACCGTGAAGAGCGGGTATCCGCTAAAATTCCTCCGTCTTACTTCTCGATGATTGAGATTGTCTTCCGAAGCCTGTTCGGCGGCAATGACAATACCCGGCTGAGAGTTAGCTGTGAGATTGCCGTCGAGCGTCCCCGGACAGATTAACGACCAACTTGCATCCTTGTAACCCAGAGTCTTAGCCCCGACCCAGTGATTGGCGATGCCTTGGGCACGACGGCCGACTGTAGCAGAACTAGCGCAACGTTTGACGGCTGCGTTCTAAATGGCGATGACACCATCGCCATTCACTTCATTTGATGATCAGAAGAGATGGGAGCATAGACAGAGTCAGAACCTGACTACATTGGTTGACGCGAAGGAAACTCACCAACAGTATGATTAAGATGAACTGCGTCTGAAACTACAGATAGTACAATGTTCATAATGTAGGTAAGACACAAGTACAGGACCAATGACAACATTGAAGAAAAACTTATCAAACACTTGCGGCCAGACAAAGGATTAGCGGCTCGTCACATTCGGGCACGACCCGGAGGATCACAGGGTTCAGACAATAGCGGGGGCGGTATGCTTAAGGCTACAGGGTAGGTAGATTGTCAAGAGTCCTAAACCTTTTAGTAACAGATGCAACTAATAGCCTTTTGCCTATAAGGGACTTCACTGCAGTAGGATTTGATGAAATAAGTAATGCAAAAGCTAGAATTCTGTTCTTGTTCCATCAAAAAGAAACCCAGTCAGACCCAGAGGACGGCAAAAATGCAAAAGATGAAAGGGACGAGACTCGAACTCGCGCGGGTTGCCCCACCAGGAAACAGATGTTAAGCTGACCTTAACCTGGCGCCATAACCAACTCGGCCACCCTTCCAATGACTGATACCAGTGACTGCAAAAGCGGGGACTATGGACTGCGCGCAAGGCCTAGCTGTCCCGCGTCCATCGTCCCCAGTGGATCATCGCGCAGCCCTGCCGCCTGTGCTCGTCGCGCAAAGTTCCGGATTGAGTTCGAAGGGCAGTTCTTTCTCACAAGAGCTTTATTTGTGAAGTCGTTCCTTGCGTTGTTATGTGGCCTCAGATGAGCTCGCGTGAACATGAGGGTTGGAAGAAGTGCATCTCATGGCGCTGGCACAGAGGGACGCTACAGCGCATAGGCCCAGTAAACGCACTGGTGGGCGAGCATTTGCAGCCAGAGGAGAGTGTCGACGGCTAACTACAGCAGCTTGGGTGCCAGAGACAACATCTTGAATTCTATTAGAAGAGATGAAGGGATAATCTTGCAGTGGATGTTCGAAGAAGCTATTCCGGTATCCAGAACTTTCTCCGCACATTCCGGTGTACGTTCAATCACGTATGCAGGACGTCATCGCACGCTAAGACGAACCAAACCCAAAGCTTGGCTGCCCCTGTCGATGGCATTCCAGACGCCATCTGAACTGTCGATATTTGACTCTCTAGACATCTCAGTAACTCTCACCATTTGTCTCATTGTTGACTTGCAAATCATATTCTTCTGACCCGAACACCAGAATCCCCCAAAAAGAGCAATTTGCAGCCATGTCTCGCGATTCCCTCGCCGCATTCCGCAAGTCGCCCTCCTCAGACGACCTCGCCGCCCTGGCCGAGAAGCATCTCGAACACGACCTCAAAGATTCGGATCGCGACCTTCTCAAGAGCGCAGCTGCCAGAGTCAGCACCCACGCGACGATCGGGTCCGTCGTTGGTTTGGGGCTGGGATTCTTCCTTGCCTTCCGGCTGAGACGGGCGCGGGCGGACATGTTTGCAGCGTTCCGGGCCACTGAGAAGCCTACGCATGTGCAGTTTGCCAGTGGAAGAACAGGTTTGTCAACGCATGCACGTATGTGAAAGTTGTGAATGCCATGCTAACGAGTGGGCAGAGCCCATCCCGGATGTCACAGACAAAATGGCCCCGACTAAAGCGGGCGACATCGCGGCTTACTCGCTACTAGGGCTTGGGAGTCTGTTCCTGGGCGGCGAGCTCGGCTTCGTGTCGGGGACCGCCTCCGCTGCTCGAAGTATTAGCAAGGACCCTGAGGCTCGAGCGAGGATCGAGACTGCGTTCCGAAGGTTTAGGGCAGATGCTCTCAGGAAAGAGGCTGATCGCCTGGATGGGGGTGAGAAGATCCTGGACAAGATCTTTTGACGGAGAGAACTTTGGTCAATTTCACTTTAAAAGAGCTCTAAATCCATGGGAATCTGGACCTTCAAGATTTTCAACGTCATCCAGCCTTCGCTGGGAAGGCAAGATCACAGTTGCTTCGGCTGATCTGCTAAAGTCGTTAGCCAAGGGCCTCGCACGATGAAGAGTGTACAAAATATCGCCTTAATACAAATTCACTCATTTAATCTCTCGAAATGCTCCAACGCTATGCAGTGATATCAACTCCTTTCAGCGATCCTTCGGCACGCCACTCCTCCAGGAACTTGGTATAGTTGTTCATGCCCGTGGGGAACGGCGCGCCCCTCATCTTCTTCATCTGGTCCTCCGGCTTGGTCTGCTCGCCCTCGTTGGTGATGTACGACGGCGTGCAGGTCGCGATTCCAGCGAACCACGCCGCGTGCATCATGATCTTCGCAGCGTAGCCTTCCTCGCCCTCCACCGTGCTCTCAATCACCACCTTGTCCGTGCTCTTGCCGGCCCGCTTCATCGCCTCGCCCAAGATGTACGCCGAGTGCTGCGCCGCAATGTCCGTCACGTAGGCAAAGTTGGACGACGCGCCCATCTGCATCGGGCCCGTGAGGAAGAGGTTCGGGAACCCGTTGGTGAGGACGCCGTGCAGCGTGCTGGGGCCCTGGGTGAGCCACTTCTCCGAGATGAGCTGTCCGCCGCGGCCCTTGATGGTCATGTTGGACTGCGACGACGGCTCAGCCATGTTCTCGCCGGGCGGTCTGTATCCTGTGCTGAGGACGATGACGTCCAGGGGGTACTCCGTCCCGCCGACTACGAGACCGTCTTTGGTCGCATGGTCCACGCCCTTGCCCTCTGTGTCAACTAGATGAACGTGGGGAAGGTTGAAAGCCGGTAGATAGTCATCGTGGAATGTCGGGCGCTTGCACCAGCCCGGGTACCACGCCTTCAGGCCCTCGGCGGTCTTCTTGTCCTTGACAATCGACTCCACACGCTGTCTAAGTCTCTCTGATCTGGGCGTGTCGAGAGCCATCAGGTTGCCGAGGTGCCCAGGAATGTCCTCCATCTTCAGCGGTGCGTCGTGAGGTCCACCGATGATGGCCTTGTACGCCTTCAGCGTCGTCCAGCCGTCGTTCACAAGGTTCTCTCCCGGCTCGCCTCCAGTAATCCACTCATTGAAGTTCTCGGTGCGCTTGCGTTGCCAACCCCTCCCAGTCGCGATCTCCGTCTTGAACTCCTCCGGATCGGTGGGCCTCTGCCCTCTCTCATCAACAGCCGAAGGCGTCCTCTGGAAAACGTAAAGCTCCTTCGCCCACTTGGCGAGCTGTGGCACAACCTGGACAGCCGTCGCACCCGTGCCAATGATTCCAACTCGCTTGCCTTCCAGACCGGTGAGCTGCGGGTTCTCGGGCGCTGTGCCCAGCCCGCCGGTGACACCGTAGTTCCATCTTGCCGTGTGGAACATACCACCCTCAAAGGCCTCTAAGTTCTTCGCTAGCTTGGGATGATTCAGCACACCGTTGGCCAGCACCACAAACTGCGACCGAACCTTCATCGTGACAGGCTCCTCGCCGGGACCACGGCCCTGCTCGACCACAACATCCCACCTCTTCGCCTCGTCGTCCCACTCGTAGCTCCTAATCTGCGACCGGAACACACCCTTGTCCGTGAGGTTCCACATCTCGGCCATCCGCTCGGCGTGTGTCATCAGCTCCGGGCCGTACGAGTACCTGTGCTTCGGGACGTACCCAGTCTCCTCGAGCAGCGGCATGTACGTGTAGCTCTCAATGTCGCACATGAGGCCCGGGTAGCGGTTCCAGTACCACGTGCCACCGAACCCGCCGGCCACGTCGACGAGGCGGATGTCCTCCGCCCGCAGGCCGGCCTGGATGAAGCGGATCGCGTACAGCAGGCCGCCGAAGCCTGCGCCGAGGATGACGACCTTGACCTCGTCGCCGTCCTTGAGGTTAGGCGGTTGCGCGTTGAGCTTGGCGTGCTCGACCCACGGGTCCTCGGCGAGCTTGCGAAAGCGTTCGTCCTTCTCGAGCTCGACGTATTGGCCGTTGCCGTCGGCGCGGAGGCGCTTCTCCTTCTCCTCGGTGTACTTCTTGTTGAGGGCCATGAAGTCGACGGCGGCCGCCCCGGCAGGGGTCGCGCCGGCGGGGACTGGGGGTGCGGACATGGCGATGGGGCTGCTCGGTGAAGTATTCCTACGGCCCGAGAGAGTTGTGGGGGTTGAGGAGATCTAATGGCTGTGGTTTTCGGATGAGATGAGAGAGAACCGTGACTGTGAACGATCGGGTCTGAGATCTACATATATGCGATCACGATCAAATGGAGTCCAAGCGGCATCCCACCTCAAACGGTCTTCATGGCGGTTCATGCATGGGCGGGTCTCGTCTGGTGTCTCTCAGGGTCTCGAGCTCGGAGGAGCCACGGCCATCGACCTGGCAGAGACTCGGCCGGCCGCTCATTGTCACTCAACGGTGGGCATGACAGTGGAGCAACTCGGAATGAATCATGAGCCCGGCAGAGCGTTGGCTTGGTGGACAGTACAGAAAAAACAATGAAGGGCCCCTTGAGATCGACAGAGGAAACGTATTCGTATTCGTTCGTCGCATTCGAGCTGCAACATCACAAGCGATGTGGAGGCCACAATGTTAGGCCAGTCTAACGGTAAAGAACGAGAGAGAGAGTCCCAAAGTCTCTGATGTGCCGGCGGGCAGCAAGCGCTAGCCTCGGCCGGCCTGCTTCCCGCTGCACTGGATCGCATTGGAGGTGTTTTGGAGAAATTGTCGTGTCGTCCTAAGTTTGCCCAGCCTGTGGGATAACCTCCGCGTGGTTGAGCCCATGCAGAACCCTGCAACTAACGACTCCGCGCGGCGAATTAGCGTAGGGAGCCGTGTTGGAGTAGTGAGGGGGACGTTGCTTTTGCCCCTCCGTGATTGTCAACCGGTTCGTCCAGAATGGCCAAAAACTACGCCTACAATGCTCCTGCATCGCGGATCCTTGCCGTTTGTCCTGGGCGACGGCTGGTCGCAGCTATTGTTACGCGTGTTGAAGCTCGCATTGAAAGCGACAATGCGAGTGGTTCATTCGATTCTACGAAAGCGAAACCGAGAACAAGAAGCCAATGCCTAGAGTCTCTGGAGGGGGCCGGCTCCATGCGTTGAAGGCGGGATCGACCGACAGACCGCTGCACAGCATCTCCGCCGGACTCAAACTCCGCTAATACAATGTGTCCGGATGACATGAAGTCAATGCCGGTGGGAGCATCCTACGTGTTCACACACATACGAGCTGTCATCTCTACGTGCCGTCGAGCTAGGCAAAGGCTAATTGAAAAGGTTCCGGGGGGATGGGCTGAGCCAAGATTAAGCTTGATTCAGTCCCTGAAGCCGTTACCGCGCGGAGATAGGCAGCGGGCGCGTCAACGACGCACTCTGTTGGCGGGAGGCGTCCCATTTCATCGCCGTTCCGTAACAATATCTTATATGGAATGAGAATGGCGAATGACATGTTTGGATAATAGATGAAGACATGAGGTGTAATGGAAATAGGAGCTTGAGAAACCTGGCACCTTATCGATAGCACAGCCACGAACAACCCCTGAGAAGTCAATCCCAAATGCTTCCCCAAGCCAGCTGAATCAGTGTCCACTCTTCGCTGTACCACAGGTAAAATCAGTCGCCTCAAGGCCATTTCTAAAGGCAAACTCCTTATCAGCCCGCTACAAATGACAGCCAAGACATTCTTGATGCGGCACGGAAGAACATATGCGCCCTCGGACAAATAGCTACGTCAAAATCACCGTGTTCTGCAGGTATCAATAGACGAACCCCCGGTCCAGCGCTTTGATCCCTGCAGACCGCAGCACTGCTACCCCTCCCTTCAACGACCAACAGGCAAGTGAGGGGGACCCATATCATGGACTTGCATCAACCAAAGAAGTCGTCGGAATTTCTAAGTTTGACTCGTCACTTGGCGGAATAGTACAAAAGGTGCTGCTTGAGCAAGTTGATGGTCACCTCCCCTGTCGGTCTACTGCTGCCTCCTTTAACTGTCTCACGCCTCTCCGACCAGAACCAATCACGTAAATCGGCATGGGCTCTACACTCAACCTCCCCGACTATGACGATCTGCCACCAGTCGAGGGTATGCCAAAGGGTTGCGCGTGGGGAATCTTTGACAAAGACGGAGAGAAGGATGTCTATGGCACGCTGAACTTGCTCACACCAGAGGTCATCAAAGCAGCCGGGGCGGAGGTCCGAGACGGAGTGTCCATCTCTCTGAAGTAAGCATCCGCCTCATCTATCAACGATCCGCAGTCATTCTAACACCATTCTAGCTGGTCTTTGGATGGCTTATCGAAGTCCGAGATCCCAGGACGCAAGAAGCTCGTCCACAAAGTCCACACCCTCCGGTCCTCCAAGCTATGCGACGCAACTGGCTGGGACGACGAGCTGGAGTTCAACACCCAAAACAGCAGCCAGTGGGATAGTCTCGTCCACTGGCACCACCAGCCGACCGGCCTGGCCTACAATGGTTTCAATCCAACTCAAGAAGACATGTCCGCCAAATCCACGGCGGAGAACAAGATGCCCACCATTGACCACTGGCATACCCGAGGCGGCGTGGTTGGCCGCGGCGTTTTGATCGACTACGTCTCGTATGCAGAGGAGAAGGGGATCCCGTATCACCCCTTTGGCGGCAACCGCATCACAGTCCAGGACATCGAAGCAGTGGCCGCGCATTACGGTGTCGAGTTCAAACATGGGGATATCTTCCTCATCAGGCTCGGCTCCACAGAATTCATTGACGGCATCAAACCGGAGGACATGGGTGGCGCGTCGAAGATTACAGCCATGTCTGGTGTCCACGGCTGCGAAGAGACAGCCCGGTGGTTCTGGAATAAGCATTTCTCTGCCGCCGTTGCGGACTCGAATTCGTTCGAGGCTTTCCCGCCTGTGCATCCTGACGGCAGTGTTGCTGGGATTTCGGATCTGGGTAAGTTCTGCTTTTTTATGCTGTTTGAGCGAAAGTTACTGATACAATTGACAAGTTTTGCACTACTACTTCCTGAGTTTCTTCGGTATGCCTATCGGCGAGTTGTGGGATCTGAGCCGTCTTGCGGCGCACTGTAAGAAGACTGGAAGGTATTCCTTCATGCTCACATCTGCACCTCTGAACGCACCATGCTTAGTTGGCTCTCCGCCAAATGCCATCGCCATTTTCTGAGGTCTTGGGGAGTTCAGCAGCTGTTCAAGTAGCGTTGCATGCATATCACCTAGTACAGATAATCATTTTTTATCATATATAACTTCATTTTCAGTAAGCAGCCATGTTGACGCGTAGAAATAACCAGCATTTAGTCTTGATTCAACACTCATTATGGTGACGTTGATTCGATATTACGGGCTTTGGCTGTCCATGCTACCGGTTAGTTGATTTGTATTGTGGTGAGTTCTTGGATGACAAGCGCTCTGGGTACCAAAGGCGGAGAAAAATGTGTATAAAACTTGCATTCACAGACGGTGCTTTCTTCAAAGGTATTAGTCGAGACTTTCGTGGAGGATAGGCTAAATTTGAGGATGAAATCTCATAACTCTTCAGTAAGTTGCGGTCATAACCCAATGGCTTCGCGACGGATCCATGTATGACTGAACTCGGTTCAGCTCTGTCGGTATGGATTATAAGCTTTGCAGTGCCGAGGCTCAGTTTTGTGGGGTCTTTCTCGTCAGATAGCCTGATCATAACACTTCGTCGCTATCAGGAGAGTGATTAAACTAAATAGCTCACTGCAGTAGTGGAGATCGAGATATCGTCTGCCAATGCCATAGACTTCCAGTAGACCATTGGACAGGCGGGTATGGGGTACTGGCCTACTGCATACTCAGGAAGATCGACATTTTTCTTTTAGCAAAAGTCAGATCTAATAGTTGAGCAAATGTCGGAGGAAACTGAGGTTATCTTTTATCATGTGTACATGTACTGTAATCCACTCGCAATTGATATTCTATGGGCGCCGTTTCATAATAGCTTTTCTCTCATCCAAATATTGAGCCCAACTTTACTGCCTTTCTGGACGGGCAAGCCAGCGTGCAGGGTGTCTTCGTGAAGCGAGCCGTCATCATGCAGGTTCTTCCAGAACACGGCACTTCCTGCTCGTGGTCGGAACGTGAGTGTCCTCGCCTGACAGTCAACTATCTCGCACCACCTCTTGTCCTCTGAGTCCCAGTCAATGGCAATGCGAGGGAACTGCGTGCCGCAGTGAGCCCCACAACTGTCATCGAGAAAGGCGAATATGGTTGTCAATCTCTCGAAACGACCTGTGGTGTTCTTCGCGTCCACCTCTGCTCTTTCTTGTTCTGAATGATGGCGAGTTGAGAGAACGTCGTAGTGTGGAACGTACTCGCCACCCTCGAGATACCGGGTAGCTTGTATCTGCTCAAACTGGTCTTCCGAAACGAATCCTTGGAAACGTGCCGAGCGCGATATCACGGAGTGTACGACGGTATCTCCTCGTGGTAACATGGCTGTCGAGCTTCGACGACCAGATGCTAGTCTATCATGCTGTCCGGTCTCGGCGTCAATTACAGTTGAAGGTTGGTAGCGCTCTTGCCTGCATTAAGACTCCGTGTCAGCAACAGCTAGAGGGTGTGCGTGGTAGTACAGGACAGCACAGAGTCCTCGATGGTGTTAATTGGGCAGTGGATAAAGTCACTCACGCAAGACCCAGAAGGTGTTGAACCTCACCTGGCGTCAAGAAGTTCTCAATATGGATAATCAGGGGGTCATAAGACACGATGGTGGTGAACAGATGTGTTGATTGTAAGCTGGGCTTCGTTTGTTGAAACAGGATAGAGATCGCGATAGATGTAATTATAATGATAGATGATGTGACTGTCAACCAGCTACCTTTTGACGAAACCCCTTCGACTGTGTTCGTCAACTTGGGTCTGGTTGTTGCAGAAGCCATGGTGACTCTTCAGTAGGTACTGCCGCCGACAAGCCGGGGGACATTGCTGTTTGATGTTCTTTATCAGCCTCTGGGACCAGCAATTAAGCCAACAGTTCAAAGTAGCTAGACTACATACTTATGTTATCTACTTTGCCGACTGTCGACTTGATTTAGTTCTGGTTGGAATCATTACGGATGGACGTCGCGCACGATTCAGTCAATTGACCCGTCGCTCGGTCTCGGACTTCAATTGAGTGCGAGAGCCACGTATCCACCAGGCCACGAATTGAGCCATGGGCTCGTTCAAAACCTGAAAATAACAAAGCATAAACGGCTACATTTGAGTTTGGGATTTCGGCAACTTCTGAGAGCATCGATTACTATTCGAGAAACTATCCCATCGGCTGCCGCGCAACCCTGCAGAGACTTACCCACAGGAGCCTACATTTCTCCAATCTCAGAGTTGAACATATATGTACGTTCAATGTTATTGTCTAAAGCGTGTAGCCTTTCTGAATGCATCTGCTCTACTCTGCATATTGTTTTCCGGTATCTCGTTGCTGCCGATGGGATACTCTCCGGTTTCTATCCAATAAAGCTCGAGGCGTTCCTTTTCTTTCGCTCTAACTACTGTATCCCAAAACCATAGATGGAAACTGATCTGCGGCTGCGGCTAAATCGGATGTCACATAACAACAGACATGACGTCAAGACGTTGTGGGTATTACTATGTCTACACGCAGGGCCGCATGGAACCTACATGTAGACAGACGGTCTGTCCCATACGCCAAGGACCACCCATGTTATATACAATCTGTACCGCAGATTTGCGAACGCGAGAGACAAAGGAGGCGCAATCATACAAAGTGCGTCGTAGGAGGCCGGTGCTTCTGTATCTCGGCATGCCCGGACAGTTCCGGACTTTGACGGACTATAGTTCTTCGATCTGTACCGGTAAATCGACAACCCCATGCTCCGCTCTCTTCAAACTCAACTAGGTGATCGGCAACTGTGATAGAAAGCTTGATCGTCTTAGACTGAACGGAGAGGTTCGGTTGAAAGCGAGCCGCGGCCTAGGTAGAAAAGTATTTAAGCTGAGAGCAATTTCCCCCTTAGACTGAGGAATTTTATCCTATCAACCCAATCAACCCAAGCAACACAGTAACCATGCAAATCAAGACAATCGCTATCTTTTTCTTTGCTACGCTCGCCGCCGCGGTGCCGAACAAGGCCGTAAGTGAACTTCATCAGCCAAGCATAGCTCGTACTAACCAATAACTAGGCCGCGGACGGAGTTGAAGCTAGAGAGGCTTCTTCTGGTCCTTCTCCTGGAGGAAGCTGCCCTGGAGTAAGTACCAGCCATTTACAGGCCGTATATGCCTTTTCAGCCCTAACTTATGGTGTAGGACCCGAACTGCGGCCCTTAAGCGGCTTATACTACCCGACGGAACGCAACCCGGCGGCGAGAAACATTCCACTTGTTGTACTTCCTCCCCACGGGGTAACCGCAGATGGGGCGACCCAGATCAAAGGACTAAACAACGGGGGTGCCTGGTACTTTTTGTGGTTCTTCATGTACACAGAAAGCTGCCAATAAGATACATTGCCGGGAAGTACTGGTTCTGCATATCAGTGTTTCTGTGAAGTTTTCAGTGTTTAAAGAGCCTCGTCAGCCTTGCAGTAACGATTTGTCGACAACTCGATCGACTGGCTTGGGATTTCAAATGTTGTTGAAGGTGAGGGGAGAATGACCGTCAACCGGCATTCCCAGACTTCGCGGCAACAATACGTCGTAGTGTTACTAGTGGACATCCAACAGGCCTGTCACGAAACCGAGTCTTCCAAGCGGTCCTCCAAGATAACTTTGCAAACTAATTAGTCTAGTTCTTCGTCAACCCTCCACACTTCAAACCCGCCGGCAAAGGGTGGCTGCAGTCCACTCCAATACCCCGTACCGAACAGGAGATAGTTCTGCACAACAGCGACGCCGCCCTTGAAGAAGTCAGCCAACTGATCCTCCCTCACAACTTCCCCCGTCGACTTGTCCAAAGGCACGAGGGATCCGGACCCTTGAGGAAACCCGTTTTCACCCGTCTTGCCCGTTGAGCCGGTGACCACTACATCATTGACCACAGTCGGAGTGATCATGCTGGCCGTATCGTTAGGCGATGGCGTCTGCCACATAATCTTGCCATCTAGAAGAGCTGCTGCGCCAAAAGCGGCATTCTGAATAGTCTGACCGTTGACGAGGGCGTATGGCGTGCGAGCATTGTTGATGGCGGTGAAATAGACCGCAACGTCGTCCGCAGCAACGCCCCAGCTCAGACCGCCCTCGAGACCCGCGGGACTTGCCTTGGTCAGCCAGAGGACCTCTCCTGACTCGGCATCTATGCCATAAAGGTTGCCATTCTTTTGCCCGATGACGATCAAGTCTTTGCCGCCAGGTGTCTTGGCGCCATCTCCGGGGACCAGGGTCGGCCCCATGCCGAAGTCCGAGTCGAGGCCCACTACTGGCGGACACTCGGCGCCGCGCGGGTTGAGCACACATGCCAAGTTCCAAACATCAAGAACACCGAGCTGGCGTGCCCATTTGATGTTGCCGGTTTTCAGGTCAATAGCGAGGACGGACTCTTGGTAGATGTCAGGTGGTAAACATGGATCGGGGAAAGTGGTGCCGTTTTGATTGGAGGCGAGCTGGCATGCGGCAATCTCGTCAGGGACGGAATGCGTATTCCCGGTGGCAATGTAGACAGACCCGCGGGATGTATCAACAACCGGGCTAGATCCCCAGACAGAGGCGCCGGAGAACGGGTTGCCTGTCAGGTTCTGAGGTTGCGTCATCATCATGGTCTTCCATTGTAGTCTCAGATTGCCGTCCTCGAGAGCAACCGAGTTCATGCTGCCCACGTGGTCGCAACAATTGTAGTTGGTGAGCGAAGCACTGATCACTTCGAACGATGAGGCTCCGACAAGTAATTGGCCTGCATACCAAGTCGGAGACTGTGTGATCATAGCGACTGGATGGTTATCAACCTGTAGATGGCTCACGAGAGAACCTGTCTCTTTGTCGATGGCTAGCACAAGAGCATGGGCGAGGGTTCCGATGAAGAGGTGATCGCCATCAGTTACAGGCGAGCTGCGGGATACGGGGTTGACGCCCGACGCTCGTTGGACATCAGTTAGAGGCGCGAAGTCAAAAATATTCTGGGTAATGTTGGCCGTCCACTGCACATGACATGATTTGTAGTCCAAGGCGACCAGAAGACCGGTCCATGTCGGATAGTAAGCGACCCCATCGACAACGAGCGGTGAGGCGCTGACGCCGGCGGGTTCGTATCTCTGCTCGCATGTCTTGACAAGCAAGCCGACGTTCTCCTGAGCAATGACAGCGTCCGGCCCTGCCATCCGTCGATTGTGGATGCTCCCGCCCCAGCCGACCCAGACACCGAGGAGCATCGGCGTCGCGGCGTGAGCTGTGGCCAAAAGCGCGGCGATGCGGAAGAGTACGGCAAGCATCTCGGATAACCTTACGCGGTAAGGAGATAAAGTCACCTCGGGAACAGCTAGAGATTGTTGTGGCGCGTGGTGTAGACGATTTGATTGCTGGTTGAATGACAGTTGCCCCAAATTGACATGACAACATGAAAGAAGTAAAATGAGTGTTATGAGTTGCGCAACATGCAAGAATCTGAGCGACGACAATGTAATCGGGCTGCATCATGTCGACGATATCCGACAATTCCCCCAACTGCCCGCCAAGCTCTCGGCACGGCAGGTTACATGGCATGTAGGCGCCGGGATGCTAATCGTCAGTCGCAAGTTTGCCCGAGCCGGCCCTTCTGAGAGGGGTCAGATGAAGAGGAAAAACACATTTTTGCTCCTTTTTTACATGAAGGGTATTTGCAATATGAAATTGCCTGCGCGCAGGACCAGCGTCTTCGCGGAGGTTTATCGGCTCGTGATTTTGTTTTAGGAGATCGGAAATGGAAAGGACCATTTCCAACGGCGTCCCCGGTTAGCCCTGGAAGCGCTACCATAAAAAGCAAAGAAAGCAAACGGCTATAGTTCAAGACCCCCAATGAGCCAACGCCTGCCCAAACGTGGCTGAGGTTACGTGCTAGGCAAACAATGTTGAAAGACAATCAAAAGCTGCTAAACGGAGAAAGCCTAAAAACCGCACGCGATCTAATCAATTTAGTTGACGCGTCGGCGCGCGTTACCCCTGCCCCTGAATCGAGCACCCACTCGTTGCGCACCCAGAGCAGGAGGAATTTAATCTGACGGATCTCCCATCAGTCCTCCTTGTGCCTCTATATCGTACAATAATTCGTAAAACAAAAAAACTTGCAACTATGCCGCCCGTCCGCACGAAGAAATCCACACCATCGAAGCTCGGGGGACCCCTGTCGGCTTTTGGCTTCGTCAAGATCGACAAGGAAGAGGCCCTGGCCCGCGCGGCGAAGGTTGTACCGAAGAACCCAGACCCAGCGGCGACTTCGTCGTCGCCATCATCAGAAGACGAAGATGTGGACGATCCAGCTCTGCGGACGAAGCCGCGAGGTGGCTCGTTCCAGCGACCGCCAAAAAGCTTCACTCAAAAGGGCGAGAAGGTTGCCATGTTCCACGGCGATAGCGGAGGAAACCCGTACATCTTTCAATGCGACCTTGAAGCCCAGGCGGGCACAGCTACGAGGGAGCTAATGTTTGGGTTTGGATATGAATTCACAAAGTACGATTCTCCCCTCTGACACCAACCTTGCACATCGTGACCTGTGCCTTCACTCTAAACTCCATACATGCACCCAAACAAAGCCTCGCTAACTCAAAGCCAGAGGACACATCGACACCCTCGTCACCATGTTCCCCAACCTCTGCCAGAAACTCTGGAGCATCGAGCTCGTCTTCATGGACCCTTACAGAGAGCCGTATGACGGCTACGTGGACGTCGACGACGCCGACCTCATCAGGCTCGCAAAGGCCTGCCCAGCGCTGCGCGCCTTCAAGCTCCCCTACGCCTCAAAAACGGGAGACGCTGCGTTTGCCGCCTTTTGTCGGCATTGCCCGAGCCTCACACGTCTCGAGATCTTCACCACCAACTGTCTCAGGGCGACGGGCGCCTGGTTCGACGAGGTGCGCGAGAACCCTTCGTGGGCGCCGAAGCTCAAGAGGGTGACAATCACCAAGGGGGAGGACGAGAGGATCGACATGGACGCCTTGCTAGCGATGAGTAAAGCTAGAAGCAATCTGTTAATCACGTTTGTGAGGGGTGAAGAAGACAGAGGATTCCGAGGCCGCTATGAGTTGATGGCTTTTATGGACGAGAAGTATAGAGGGGGAAAGAAGGTCAAGTGTCAACCTTGCCATCAAGAGGTACTTTAGACGCTTAATATGGTTTAGATTCTTAATGTCGTTGCTGGTAGATGCGAGAACACTTCAATCACTCAAGACAAGCCCTTCAAATTTCATTTCAAAATCAGATTTCTATATGCCGCTGAAACTATCGAAACAAGAACAATGCTGTTGAGGTATTATGAGTTATACAAAAAATGCAATTTTGTTCAGAACCACCCATTTTCCTTCCGGGTGTCCCATGCAGATGTCCCATGCAATGTGTGATGTTGCTTTTGCTTTTCTCTCCCCCCTCCAAATTAAGAATCGAAACTCTCAACAGTCATTTCTCTCAACCCGTGCTGCTGCTCTACTGCAACATCTGCTGCATCGCGTTGATTCTGTAGCTCTCCCTCCTGTCCATCAGCTCCTGGTGCTTTCCGCTGTCCACGATCTGGCCGCCCTCCACGAGGAAGATCACGTCGGCCTTCTGCACGGTGTGCAGACGGTGCGTAATAGCCAGCACCGTCGTGCCCCGCGACGCGCGCTCGAGACCCTCCTGGAGAGCCGCCTCGGACGCGGCGTCGAGCGCACTGGTGGACTCGTCGAGCAGGAGAAGACGCGGCTTGCGGACGAGCGCGCGCGCGATGGCGAGGCGCTGCCTCTGACCACCGGACAGACGGGACGCGGAGGGTCCGCACTCGGTGTCGTAGCCGTCGGGCAGGGCCATGATGACGTCGTGGATGTTGGCGAGCTTGCAGGCCTCCTCGATCTCCTCCTGCGTGGCGTCGGTGTCGGGCGCGGAGCCCAGGTTGACGTTGAAGCGGACGCTGCCGTCGAAGAGGGTCGGGTCCTGCGGGACGATGGCGACGGTGTCGCGGAAGGAGGTGGGCAGGTTGGCGATATCGTGGCCGTCGATGAGGACGCTGCCGGCGGTCGGGAAGTAGAGGCGCTGGACGAGGTTCATGATGGTGGACTTGCCGGCGCCGGAGGGGCCGACGAGGCCGCAGAAGGTGCCGGGCTGGAGGGTGAGGGAGACGTTGTCGAGGATATTGACATCCGGGCGCGAGGGGTAGGAGAAGGAGACGTTCTTGAAGGTGACCTTGACTCCACCGGCGTTGGGGCGCGGGAGCTTGGCCTTGGACTCGCCGGTGGCCTCGGGGTCGGCCTGGATGTTGGGGTCGCCGATGAGCTGCTTGGGCTGGGATCCGGTCTTGGAGAGGTCGTCGTTCTTGCCGAGGTTGATGACGTTCATGATGCGGGAGATGGCGCTGCGGGCACGGGAGAACTCGGGGGCGAGGGCGAACATGGTACCCCAGAGCTGGGCGCTGATGAGCATGGCGACGAGGATGATGAGGAACTGGGTCTGGGTGTATTCGCCCTTCATGATGAGCTGGGATCCCCACCAGTTGGCGAGCGCGTTGACGAAGGTGCCAGTGACGTTGGAGATGGCCAGGAAGATGTTAGTGGTGGCGGAGGCGCGGACCATCTGCTTCTGGGGCGGGAGGAGAAGGCGGTTGTAGGAGTTCATGACCTCCTTCTCGAGGGAAAGAGCGGCGACGGTCTTGATGGACTGGACGGCCTCGGTAGCAACGGAGGTAGCGGTCGAGAAGGCGGCGGAGTGGCGCTCCTCGTAGCGGGCCAGCATGCGCAGCTGCATGAAGCCGGAGCCGAGGAGGATGGGGATCGTGACCAGGCAGACAATGGCAATCTTCCAGGCGATGATGTGGGACAGGATGACGGCAACGAGAACGTTCACGCAGATGGCGAAGACTGTACCGATGGTCGAGCCGGAGAAGCCACCGATGGCGGCGCTGTCCTTGGTGATGATGGTGAGGAGACCAGAGGGGCTGCGGCCTTCAGACTGGTGCCATTGAACGTCCTGGTCCATGAGAGAGCGGAAGGACAGGACTCGGACGGAGTAGAGGAGCTTCTCGGCAACGACACCGAAGCAGGACCAGGCGAAGAAGTTGGCAAAGAACTCGATGCAGGCAAGGCCGAAGAGGAGACCGGAGAAGAAGCGGCCCATGGACAGGATGCGCTCGTAGGTGCTGGCACAGGGGTTGAGGGCACCGACGGTGAAACCGAAGATGAGACCAGATCCGGTGAAGGTGCATCCGACGATCGTGGCGGCAATCATGGCGACGATCAACCAGGCGTACGAGGGCTTGACAAGGTGGGCAAGGCCCTTGATGACGGCGCTGTAGGGCTTAGGCTCGCCGACGCCGGGGTCGTCCTCCTTCTTCTCCTCCTCACCCTCGCTGCTGCTCTTCTCCTTCTTGAGGGCGGCCTTCTCGGTGGGCTCGTCGGCGTCGTCGACCTTCTCGTTGATGACGTGGTCGGTCTTGAGGGTGGAGGCGTCCAGGGAGTCACCAGAAACGGAACCGGCGCTGGGGGCGCGGTCAGTCGTACCAAGGGTCTGGAGTCTAGCCATGCGCGCGAAGGCGCCGTCCTCGCGGGCCATGAGCTCGGTGTAGCTGCCCTGCTCGACGATCTCGCCGGCTTCCATGACGACGATGTTGTCCGCGTTGCGGATGGTGGAGAGACGGTGGGCGATGGAGACGATGGTGCGGTTCTCGGTGGCCGCCTGCTCGACGGCGCGCTGGATGCGCTTCTCACTGGCAGAGTCAAGGGCAGAGGTGGCCTCGTCGAGGACGAGGATCTTGGGGTCACGGATCAAGGCACGGGCGAGGGCGATGCGCTGGCGTTGGCCACCAGAGACGAGAGAACCGCTGGGGCCGGCCATGGTGCCGTAGCCGTCGTCGAGGCGGTTGATGAAGGTAGCGGCATCGGCCTGCTCTGCGGCCTGGCGGACCAGTTGCACAATCTCGCGGACCTCGGGTCCGTAGCCGTCGATGGAAGTGAGCGCATCCTTGCCCTTGGAGGCGATCTCGGCGAGCTGGTGGCTGTTCAGGAAGGGCTTGAGGTGCTGATGCGCCTCCTGGGGCGAGTTGATGAGACCGAGGGCGATGTTCTCCAGGATAGAGCGGTCGAGAAGCGAAGGCTCCTGCTGGACGAAGCTGATGAAGCTGCGGAGGCTGCGGACGTTGAGCTCGCGGATGTCGGTGCCGTTGAGGAGGATCGCGCCCTCGTTGGGGTCCTGGAGACGGGCGATGAGCGCCGCAATGGTGGACTTTCCGCTGCCGGAGAGGCCGACGACGGCCGTGTACTTGCCGGCGGGGAAGTCGAGGTTGACGTTGCGGAGGACGGGCTGGCCGGGGCGCGAGGGGTACTCGAAGGTGACGTTCTGCAGGGTGATGCCCTTGGGGTCGTTCAGGGGGAGGATCTTGCCTTCGTCCGAGGTGCCGTCGATCTCCGAGGGAGCCTCAATGTCCTCCATCAGACGCTTGTACGCGGCTGCGGCTCCGCCGAGGACGGGGAGGATAGGGGCGATGGAGCCAAGCATAATGCAGGCTGGAAACGAGATGAGCAATTAGCACGATGCCCACACACACAGAGAGAAATGGTGCTGCAGTTCACACGGCATGTTTTGGGGAAATAACTTACCATCAACGAGAAGATAGACAACGGCGTAGATCTCACCAACGGTGGCACCGTTGCCGCGACCAGCCACGGAGTCAGCGATTTTGATGGAACCCTGCCAGAAAGCAAGGGCGTTGCCGGCGTAGGCGATGAAGTAGAGAAGACCGGCCTGCACGGCGGCGACGGAGGCCTTCTTGATACCGGCCTTGCGGGCGTCAATCATGTGGTCGGCGAACTTGGCCTCGAGACGCGGGCCGGCGCCGAAAGCCTGGACAACGGACACGTGCGAGAGCGCCTCGGACGCGATCGAGGACGCGGAGGCCGCGGCCTGGGTCATGATCCCAGAGTACTTTGTGATGTAGCTGCCTCCGAGGAAGGACGACAGCAGGAAAGCCGGGAACATGGACACCAACATGCCGGCGAGCTTGGGCTGCTTCGTGAAGGCGATGACAAAGACGGTGACGAAGAAGCTCAGCGACGCCAGGATGATGCCGACCTTCTCGGAGGTGCCGGACTGGATGGCGGTGATGTCGCCGTGCAGCCTGCTCGAGACCTCACCGGCGGCGGCGCGCTTGTCGAAGAAGGACGGAGGCTGCTTGAGCAGCGAAGACACGTACTTTGTGCGCATGCGCTGGGCGAGGCGCTGGCTGATGATGCTCCAGGTGAGAATGTAGCTGTAGATGAGGATGAGGGCGGCGCAGCCGACGGCGACGGTCTTGATGACCTTGTCGTTGATGGCGGACTCGTAGGCGAAGGCGTCGACGCCGTCCTCGGCGGCACAGGTGGCGGAGTTCATGTTGTCGACGAGCTGGCCGAAAAGGACGCCCATGAGGGGAAACGGCACGCCCGCCGCGATGGCGGTGAGGGAGGCGAAGATGACGAGGAAGACGTCGAGCCATGTCGGGTCGGCGGCGAAGAGCAGGCGGAAGTAGACGAATATTTGCTTGTGCCACTGCGCATTGATTTGTTAGTCACGTATGAGTGGATGGGAATGAGGGCTGTTGTGTTTGAGTTCTGGAGTTGGAGCTGCGTCATGAGACATGATACTGCGGCGATGATGCCGCCCGATAAGATCTTTTTTGGTGTTGAGGGATTGCGGCACGGGCCGACCACAGCACGCATTCAGAAGCTCCATTGCATGCAGCTCAACTCAAAACAGCGACAACAACATCAGCGGTTGGGAAAGACTAACCGGCATCTCTGCCTCCGTCAGCTTCTTGGGCTCCTCGACCGAGGGAGCGGTCTGCTCGGGGGGCGGCTCCTGCTTCTCAGCTACCGCCATGTTGGGTCGGTCTGTCTGTAGGATTCCTTATCAGATCAGATCTTATCCTCTCTTGCTGGGGGGTCCGTCGGACGATTCCAGCACCAGGGCAGCGGCAAAGAGGGAGGGGGAGGGGAGGGAAAGAAGAGAGAGGAAAAGAGTGAAAGTGGTTGGAAAGAGTGAAGAAGGCAACCTTGAAAAGGTTCGGAATGGCAAGATGAGCCGGCGTCTCTCTTTTTCCCTCTTGGCACTTTTTGCGCCTTCGTTCCCTTTCCTCGCGTGGAGAAAAAAATCAACCGGCTTGACAAGGGCACATGCGAACGAGGGACTGGGTGCTCAAGGCGATGTGGTGGCCGATTCCGGTGCTTAGCCTGCTGCGGGTATGGGTGCCAAAAGGAGAAGCGTACATATGGGCACGCCGGTCTTTTTGCTGTGCGCCTCTCTCCTCTCTTCTACTATGTACTGTCTGTTTTTTTCTTTCTGGGAGGTGGCATTGGGGCACCACTACCAGAAGCACGACGATCAGGGTGTCTTTTTGGTGTCCCTTTTTTTCTTACTGCGTACCCTTCTCCGCTGCAGAGGTGGAAGAATTTTGCAATGGAGCACTTGGGAATGGGCCGGACAAGGGGGGCTTTGGCCAGTCATGAGCGAGCATGTGGTGAAGGGTGTGATCAGATAAGATGATCTGATTGATTAGATATGACGCTAGCAAATGTCGCTAGCCCGTTTAATTTGGCGTTGGTGGGCTTTCTATGCGGAACCCATGCCTCGGCGTTGCGCAGCCATGTTCCCTTGACAATGCGTAAACCCTGGTCCGCGTGCTGCTCCATGAACGCGAGGGTGGATGTGGGATGCCGAGGACGAGAAGAACTGTTGGCTTGCTTGTCGAGTTGTCTTTGGTCAGGAGAGGCTCGGATCGGAGCGGCCCCCCTCCCCCTCTGTTGATGTTCTTCCCTCGGTTGGGATCTGATAGCAAAGATAGCAAACTAAAAAGTGACGGTCGCGCGGAGCTAGGAGAACACGCTCACAGGGATCGGCTTGTGGCTGGCCTACCCCATTGTTTACGTACGGACAACGCAAGCCCTCTTCTGTCATGACTACAAGAATCGATCTGCCCCCCTCCACAACTGATCACTCCCCCCGTTGCCCCCTCGCTAATTCCAACTTCCTAAACCGGGCTCGGTAGGGAAGGGGATGAGATGGGTTGCACAAGAGCTAAGGCCCGTCTGGACTGGAGCTTATGTTGCACTGCCGGCTCCTTCACCAGTCTCACCAAGATGCCGCAAAGATGCACAATTTCTTCTCACAGTGATCCGGAGAGTGGCGAGAGGTTTGGATACCGGCCCCGATTGTTCATGATTTGAATTTCAATTACTCGGGTCGCCACACTGTTGCATCCGATGGGGGGTAGCTAGCGCCCGGGGGACCACAAACCGAAAAGCGATTCCCGCACAAAATTCAACGGCTGCGGCGGATTGATCCGCGCTTTTTGAGAGAGACATAAGCCAAGCCACGACTCACTGCAAACAGGGAGCGGGAAATGACAGGGATCGTGCTTTTCCCAGCTGGCATTGCATCCCGTCCGGTCTCCGGAGCCGGGGGCCAGCTTAGCTTCCAAGCTTCCAAGCTTCGCATCATTCTCGAAGCAATTTCGCACTTTCTTCTGCAGCTGTTCTCAAAGAGCCCACACAGTTTCGGCTCTTGATGACCGACCGGCTCGATCGCCGAACAAAAGGGCTGAAGGCCACGTTCGCAATCCGAGTGGTGGGACCGCATCTTACTAAATATGGCGTCAATCCTGGCGGAGCGTAACCTGTCAAACGGTACAGCCGAAATGAGTCGAACCTTTCTCCGAACTCCTTTCTTTTCCATAGCAAAAGGAGAGAAGGGGTTGAGGAGGCGGAGCTTTCGGGTTCTAGGCTCATTGATCTTATCAATCTTATCATGTACACCTTCGAGGGCGGCGATGCATGGCCCCCGACGCGTTCGCCCCGACACCGTGGTTCGAGATCGATGCAATATGCTCCTGGCTCCTAGGGAGCTGGACCCTGTCAGGCAGGCTGAATTAGAGTCATCGCTTCTATCGTTGCGGCCACATGCCGTCTGGTCTTGGCTGCAGTGACTGCGAACCCACTATGGTTCGATAAGGAACATAGGCCGTGGGCAACCTTGTGACTAGTCATGGGCAAGTGTTGGTGTTAGGTTGTCGCGAGTAAGCCGCATATCTGTAGCTTCGAAACGGCCTCCTAAGGATAACATGAGACATCTTTGGAAATGAACATGCACAATACTACATGGGGCTGGAGTTGTGGTATTACCTTAACCCCGGCATCTATTCACAGTCCCTGCCGTCGAACGGCAGTTTCCAGATCAAAGTCTTCGTTTATGATGAAAATGTGCCAAGGGCTTCATATAGAGGAGCATGTGTTCATAAATTGAGCGTCTATGTAGATCAATTGACGATGGGAGCAAATAATCCCACCTTTATGTCGGTACAGCTGATATCCCAACAGCTTAGATTGGCAACAAAGATCGACCGTTTCTGAAGCTGTTTGTTGAGCTCTTGATACTTGTACGAGCACAGCTCCACGACGAAGTATCTACGCTCTATCCCTGGCGACAACGACTGTTGAGCGCTGCAACAACCCTAAAACAACGCTCGCCCTATAATTGTTTATGACCAACTTGGAAAACACGAGCTGAACGCCATTGGACACCTGAAGGCGAGGCCTAAAGACGTCTTGAGTGCCGATGGCACCCAATGGTGTCTCTTGTATTGGCTCTTGGAGCGATATGAAGTGAGAACGTTTCGAACAAACTCCATCACCTCTACTGGTTATGCGTTCACAATGATCTTGTGATGAACCAACGCAAGCTCTAATCGTGAGACTCAGAGGAAGATCAAGGATCGTTCGGTGCCGACGGGATCTATTCTCAGGAAGATAATGCCGAACAGGGTTGGCGGTACAGGGACAGGGTCTTAGTCTTCACAGAAGTTTCTCAAAAGTAGAAGTTGTAATCTCAAGAAGTTCCCAGTATCACGTTGCAAACAAGTGACCTTACAATCTTGCTCGTAAAAGTGGTCGGATTGGGTTAATCGCATGCCGACACTCTTTGACCTAGGGCGTCGCAAGGACAACTTGAAATAGGAATACCAGCAAACTCTTTTTTCTCTAGCTGCTGCTTGAGACCAGCTTGCGGCATGTTTCGACTCATCAAACGTGAATTGACTTTTCGGCTCAAGGCAAAAGACGCCCCCAGCCGTGAGACGGCAGCTAAAAGAGGGTGAAGGTCATCGCACTAGCAGTCGTAAATGCCCTTTAAGTCTCTGAAATTATGCATTATGATATTTCCGGTGATGCTTGCTTACATCGTGCTCTAAAAGTTGAATGTCGAAGTAACCCCAAGGTATCCTATCCAAAGACGCCCAAAGATGCTCTCGCCGTGCAACAGCGGATGCATGTCTTCCAACGAACTCGAAACTCTCATGACAACTACCATACTCCATCATGAAAACGCCGTCTAATTCTTCTGCGCAATAATGCGATAGCTCGTCGACACAAGCCTCATGGTATCCATCTTCACAAACGCCTGCCCATCCAGACACAGCCGGTTGATGAGCGTCTTGAAATGCGGCGGCAGCAGCCTCACCTTGACCAGCCCCAGGATGACCTGCCGCAGACTCCGAAAGTACACGTCCGCCTTGTCGATCAGCGGCGCCTGCACGCCGTCGATGCTCGCGTTGTCGGAGCGCAGCACCGTGAACCCGGCGTCCGTCAGCGCCTTCTCGAAAGTCGCCGGGGTAGGCGTCCCCACCGCGCCGATGAGGGGCTTCGTCCGCCGCATCAGCTCCGCGTGCTCGGCGTTGGTGGGGTCGTACGCCGGCAGACTAACCCAGTCCAGCAGCGAGATCTTGGCGCCGGGCTTCAGCACGCGGCGCAGCTCGGCGAACAGCCGCGGCAGGTCTTTGCACAGGCTCAGCGCCTGGATCTGGTAGAATGCATCGAAGGTGTTGTCCTCGAACGGGAGGGGCAGCTCGTTCATGTCCTGGATCGTGAAGCTGTTCTCCAGGCCCACCTGCTCGTTGAACTCCTTCGCCTGCGCGACCTGGTTCGGGTCGATGTTGAGGCCGGTTACCTTGGCGCCGCTGACGACGGCCATGTGCGCCGCGACTCGGCCCCTACCGCAGCCGAGGTCGAGGACCTTGTCGCCGGGCTTGAGGCCGATGTCTCGGGCGATTGACTCCTCGTACAGCATCTGGTTGTCCAGCACGGAGGCCTTCTTGTCCATCAGCGGCGGGATGTACATCTTCTCCACATCGCCCAGCGCGCACAGGTGGTTCAGCACGCCGTAGTACGACTGCAAGCAATCGCCGACCTTCTGGCGGTAGTCTGGCCCCAGGGTCTCGATCATCTGGCGCTCGTCGGCCCAGTCGAGGCTGTAGATGACGTAGGACGCCATGAAGTCGTCTACCTGCTTCGGCGTGAGGTCGAGCAGGTACTTGAACGACTTCCAGAATGTTTTTGAGCGCTTCGGCGACGCGGTGCGATTGATTGCCGCGTGCTGCAGGCTGTGCTTATTTTTCTTCCACGATGCCTGGGCGGCGGGCTTCAGGGTCGCGACGTCATCGGACGATGTCGAGCTGCTCCGGGGCGTATCGGTGACATCAGTGGTGGGCGGTTGCGCGGGCGCTGGCGCGATCGTCTCTGCTGCTGCTGACATTGCGGGCGGTCTGTTTAGTGGTCCGATCTGCTTCGCAAAGGATTCAAGGGGGGCGGAGATAGGGATAATGAGAGAGCAGTGTCAGTCGGGAGACGTGGGATGGGTAGAAGAAGCGCGAGTATCAATGAAGGCCGAACTGGGTATCACGGTGTGCATCCTGAGGAACAGAGGAAAAGGACAAGAAACGGGCGATGGGGATATCGGATTCTTTTAAATCAGCATGTGTGTTTACAATGATCAGCGTAAAAAGCAAGATCTGACGGAGCCGCAAACCGGATTGCTTTCTAATCTCTCGTGAC